CAAATTTTCAATTAGTTTTGCTGTTTTATTTTAAAATGCATGCGTTTGTTATTACGTAATGGACCGCTGCTCCATTACGGAAAAATAATGGACCGCTGAAAGTGCTTTTCAGCCAATCACGGTCCGCTATTTCACCGGAAGTGATGCGTGCCATATAATAATTCTTTATACTTATACGACGTTCATTGAATAATGCTGCCCTTATCTACACGTTCACTATAGGGTTAAATAGTGATAAATCTTAAGAATGTTTCTCGAATTTCCATTCAAAATTGGTATGGCAACTCACAATAATCTTAGAAAACGTGAAAATTTATTTGCCTCAGCCTCCATTTAGGTCACATTCATTCAATTCCCCTCCCCACCCAATTAACCACCAATTCCTAGTAATGGTGACAATTCTGAACCATGGGAAAATAAGGTTCCAGTGGGCTAAATAAAAAAAACACATATAAAACACTATACGATACCTAACCCATTCTCCATTGTTACGGTGCCAAGAGGGCACACGAAGGAAGCATAAGAATAATATTAAACTTGTTTAACTAGGCAATAGAGCGCCGTTCATACTACAAATGTTTTTCGGAAAAGCATAGCTAAACTCTAAAGTACGTTGGGCATGCAGGTATATATTTGTTTTGGTCACAACATGTGATTGAATAAACGACAACAATGCCCGCTACATATCTTTGAAATTTTGCGGTGTAGAAATTTTCCCTCTTGCGGAGAAAAGACAATGGCTTGGGCTGGTCTCGTGGCACGCAGAAATTTGATCGCCCAAGGGATAATAGGCAAAGTATCAAATTGCATGCTTCCACTTCCGCACTTTACACTTCGATTGCAAGGTGTGAGAGTGTTCTGTACAATCAATTTTGAGAATCATATAAAATTCAAATACTTGCTAAATTTTGGTTCTTGTTTGCTTTTAAATTATAAAAAATATGCTAAACATATTTTTATAGTAACAGGCAAGTCAGGAAATCAAGCAATAAAAACGTATGATCGTATATGCTTTTGAATTGTTCTCATGTTCTATCGAGGCCTCTGGCGCACTTTCATTTCACATCTTTCTGTTTTGCCTCTGGTTCAATTTACGTATTTATAATATTCTTATAATATGCCCTTAGCGTTATTTGGAAACGGTATAAGCTTTGAATTGATTTACTTGTTAATTTCAATACAATACTGTGTGATAGGTCTTCTCGCGCAAACGTTACACACTTAATAGATACAAGCCAAATAAACAATTGAATCTCCGGACATTGTATTGATTCAAAAATTGTTTATAGACATCGCACATTGTTTTCTTGAATAAATTAAATTATTGCATAATCCATCGTTTGTATTAAACACTAGGTAGTAAGGAGTGTATAAGGTACAAAAATTGTTAGGGAATCTTCTGTACAGGATTATAGATAACTATATGCTTTTCTTATTTTGTCTGCACGCGAGTATAATGAAGGCAAAATAGTGCACAGTATGTCCTATAATATGTAATTCAATAGCTATTTATACCCTTACAAAAATTTCACGTTAAAGTTCATATATGAAATTGGAATTTCATATATGAAATGAAGATTTTCATATATGAAATTAGAATTTCACATGTGAAAAGCAGCTTTTTGACGCAGCCGCTCATGGGGAGAAATCTCAACACAAAGAGCAGCTATGAAGGAGACAATGCTCGCCCAGAATATTTTGAAAAACAAGTGCCCCAAATTGGCTAAAAATGCATAATCCGTGCAACAATTGTTACATCACTCTATAATCTATACATTTATACACTATCACATAATGAATGAAGATGGATGCAGTTGCATTTTTTATCTCATTCCTACAGAACAGGTAACATTCTTTCGATTGGTTACAATTTTCCCTCTGAATTTCTCCTTTTGTCTAAATTTTTGGTCCCGTGGTCTGATACTTTTTTCATCCCCTGTACATTTTTCAACCCCCTGTTCATAATCTTGAAAGATTCTTGGTGTTGCTAAATATCTTCGTACAAAGCCAGAAAACACGCTTTGTCGCAATAATATATGAAACTTAAAAATCGTGTTGCTCATTGTTTACATCAAATCTGAATTCACATATCTCAAGAGGAGGGGGAAGTGACCTATACTGTATATTTTCACTATGGCGCGCGAGCGACTGGTTCCAAGAGCATGCATTTTGAGATATGGCATATAGTAAAAATGCTATTGCAAAACTCGTAAATTTTAAGATTTTGATCGCAATTTACAAAAAAATTGCAGGGTTTATCGACAAGAACTTTTTAGTATTGGATTCAGCGTGTTTAAATCTATAAGAATATGTAAGTATTTTTTAGCTTAGCAAGGTGTACAGTGAAAATTGGTTTCTAGCCATAGACTAGCTCACGGCCTATCATGCAATTTTTTTCGCAAAGGCCCGTGCATAGGCCACGAGTTGGGTCCGATGAGCATACGACTGTTGACGAAGCGGGCCATGCTGTTACGCGACCGGCCGAAGTTCGGCCGAACACAAACAATGAAACAAACGGTTAGCACTATTTTCCATCCAGCAAACTGACCTGACGTCATTTTTGGAAGATGAAAGAGGTGTTAAATGGCTATGCGACTAACCCAAACCCTACCCCTACTCTAACCCCAAACCCTAACCCTAACCGCAACCCTAACTTTAACCCTAACCCTAACCCTAACCGAATTAACAAAAAAAAATTAAAAAAACACGTTTTTAGAAAATCGATAGGGCGGTTTGCTGGATGGAAAAAAGTGCTAACCGAAACAAACATTCTAAATTTTAAAACAATCTATATTTCTGGATTTGTGGTGTGCGTATCCCTCTAAATTTATTGCGAATGGGAAGTCTATAACTATAACGCCATGCCATTATATTTCATTTTACAAAATTGTAATGTAAATGCCCCGAAAACGAAGACTCAAAGAGTAATAGTATGACAGAACTACAAACTGTGTGAGTGTCCGTATGCATATACATTAAAAGCTTTAAAAACATTATCTTATGATATATATTATATAAATTTTAATATTATTAGCTAATCGCTTTAGGCTATATAGATAATGATGCATGGGTGTCCGGAAATACCAGATTTATTTCGCGTGTTGAACATAATATCTCACGAGTGAGCAGCGAACGAGTGAGATATCATTTTCAACAGTCAACACGAGAAATAAATCTGGTATTTCCAAGCACCCATGTATTTTTCAGTTTATTATATAAACAAAATTCAGTGAAAAACAATAAAACGTCCGTGGCAATGCGTTTTACAACAAATGATATTTTCACACGTAAAATATCTTATTTTTTAGGTGTGTTTAAATACTATTTTTCTCAGTGGCCAAAAACTCTATATAACACTTTATATGTTTACATATTAATAAATAATTATATTATATAGCCTTTAATACGCATCAAAATATCGATTTTTGCAACAATTTGAACATAATTAAGGGATGGTAATCTTAGTTTCACGATCCGTAACCATATCTTACCAACCGTACCAGTGGTACCATTGGACAATATTTTGAAGTATACCCCAACTGCCATGGCCCTTGGTTCACGGATGGTAAACTTACTTTCACGATTCGTAACCATATCTTACCAACGGTACCACTGGTACCATTCGACATGATTTTGATGGGTACCCCAACTGCCATGGCCCTTGGTTCACGGATGGTAAACTTACTTTGACGATTCGTAACCATATCTTACCAACGGTACCACCGGTACCATTCGACATGATCTTGATGGGTACCCCAACTGTCATGGCCCTTTGTTCACGGATGGTAAACTTACTTTCACGATTGGTAACCCTATCTTACCAATGGTACCACTGGTACCATTCGACATCTTTTTGAAGGGTACCCCAACTGCCATGGCCCTTGGTTCACGGATGGTAAACTTACTTTCACCATCCGTTACCCTATCTTACCACTGGTACCACTGATACCATTCGACATCCTTTTGAAGAGTACCCCAACTGCCATGGCCCTTGGTTCACGGATGATCAACTTACTTTCACGATCAGTTACTCTATCTTACCAACGTACCGTTGGTACCCACTGGTACCATTCGACATGACCTTGATGGGTACCCCAACTGTCATGGCCCTTGGTTCACGGATGGTAAACTTACTTTCACGATTGGTAACCCTATCTTACCAATGGTACCACTGGTACCATTCGACATCTTTTTGAAGGGTACCCCAACTGCCATGGCCCTTGGTTCACGGATGGTAAACTGACTTTCACGATCCGTAACCCTATCTTACCAACGGTACCACTGGTTCCATTCGGCATGATTTTGAAGGGTACCCCAACTGCCATGGCCCTTGGTTCACGGATGGTAAACTTACTTTCACGATCCGTTACCCTATCTTACCACTGGTACCACTGATACCATTCGACATCCTTTTGAAGAGTACCCCAAATGCCATGGCCCTTTGTTCACGGATGATCAACTTACTTTCACGATCCGTTACTCTATCTTACCAACGGTACAACTGGTACCATTCGACATCCTTTTGAAGAGTACCCCAACTGCCATGGCCCTTTGTTCACGGATGATCAACTTACTTTCACGATCCGTTACTCTATCTTACCAACGGTACCACTGGTACCATTCGACATCCTTTTGAAGGGGACCCCAACTGCAATGGCCCTTGGTTCACGGATGGTAAACTTACATTCACGATCCGTTACGCCCTATCTTACCAATGGTACCACTGGTTTGGATGCACTGTACAATGGATACAAATTGACAACAATACCGATGGTAGATGGTGGATTTATGAAATTTACCATCCGTACCGTATCGTGGTATTGGACCATGTTCAAGTATTTTTGCCAGTTCACAAGTTTGAGTAGTCGAAAGTTTTATACAGTTCCTGACATAGTATTTTGCCATACGTACTTGGCTTAAAAATATCCATATTAATAATATTTTTGGTTTGTTTTAAAAATCTTTATAGTTTCAAATCTTTTAGAACTATAAATAATACACAATTATTTACACAAAAAATTAATAAAAAATACTAACTAATGTCATATTATATATTGAAAGTTTAAAATCAATAGTCACTCACCCATTGCGTAATTACTATTACATTTTCCAAGTGAGAACAACCCGCGTCCCGTGACAGTAATTTTGCCAATTGTCCCTTTTCAAACCATTAAAATAATTAGCCAGTTCCTAATCGAGACCGCAAAGCATCAACAACTTTTGAGGTATTTTGTTAGAGATAATGAGGCATCTTTTATACTTTCTTGCTTCTCTTTTAACTCTTAAAATTTCTTCCCACTTTGTGTTGCCCCTCCAAACAATCCTTAGATGCTTTGCGGTTGTCAATTGAGAAATGCCTAATTATTAATTATCAAGGCCCCGTCCACATGTATCTGGATTCGTTTGTATCCGCAAACATTTTGTTGCGGTTACGCTTAGCGTCCACACGTATCCGACGAAAATGCATACCGTAACCGCAAACTTTTGAAAACGGTCTCCAGAGTGGAAAGTGTTGAAAACGCAACGAATCGGGATACGTGTGGACGTGCTGTAACCGCAACGATTTGAAAACGATGACGTAAATCGATGAAAATTGATATCCACTCACTCTAAAGTGCGAAGTCCAGTCTATTCTGAACATAGCTCGCGTGTACGTCGTCTAGGTGATTTATCACAGCATAATGGCGCTACGGATGGAATCTGTTGTTTCAATATTAACCGGTAAATTTTAAGTCAATGCCAGTTGCCAGAAATGTGGCCGTGAAACGTCTCAACAAAAAGCGCCAAGCACTACCTCCAAGGTTTTGAGTTCGACCTGGATCTCACGGCCACATTTCTCGCCTGACACCTCATAACATGTGATAGCGCATGCTCTGTAAGCAAATCTAGCATCGTTTTTGCGAATACGTGTGGACGCTCGAAAACGCAACGAATCCGCATACGTGTGGACGCGTAAACTTTTGAATCCGCAACAAAATGTTTGCGGATACGAACGAATCCGGATGCGTGTGGACAGGGCCTAAATATTATTTCAAAACTTCTAATAATTATGAGATAATCCATTGACAACATCACTTAGCAGGGTGTTGTTGTGAAGTTATTAAATTACGGGTTGTGTTGTTCATTTAGCCAAATAGTCATCTGACGGATATCTTCAACGTGTCTCGCTTCTGTCCTGGTAAAGTTTCCAGAAGTCTGCAATGCATAATTGACAATGGGATGCGCGTAGGCTTGCCTGCACCGGAGCATTTTAAAAAATACGGATTTATGTGTATTATCTGACCAGCCAAACCGTATTTTCAATTCTTCCCACCTCCTGATTCCTTCACGTCCTTCAGGGGTGTTTCTGTTGTCTCTCAACCAATCCATGAGTCTTGTAAATATTCGACCATGTCTGATTACCGTTCCTGGTGGATAGATGTATGCGGCAAGGTCCATTTCGAAGTTGTAGGCTGTCTGCCCAGTATGAAGAGCTGCTTTCGTTTCCCGAAACTCGTTTTGCATATCAGTCATTTGGGTTTCCAGTCGACCTATTCGATCTACCGTTCTTTCTGCTTCCCTTGTCATTCCATCTGCTCTTCTTTTTGTTCCTGTTAAGCTCCGTTTTAAGGATGGTATCGTTGATTCTCGCAATTCTCTACGACCGCGTTTTTGCCCTACTTTTCTTTTAATGGTTTCAGTATCCCTGATATGAGTATACATCCTGGAACGTATCTCTGCCGAACGGGAACGCAAATCCGTCTGATCCATTTCCTTTGGGATGGTTTTAAGGATTTGCACAATCTTTCTTTTGTTTGTTTGTTGACTCAATCTATTTTTCACTATAAAGTACAGGATATACCATTATAAGTTTATGGAACAAAAAATAACGATGATGGGGTCGACAAATTTAAAACTTTTTCTTACATTGAGGCTCCAGTCACCTTGACTAATGATTTTTTTTCAGATTAGAAGAAGCAACAGTAATTTTCGCAATCACAGTCTTTGCACTGTCTATATGCCATAATATACATGCCAACTATACAATGTCGATATCTTGAATTGCATCTGTTCAGATGTTGTAATTTTAAAAAGCCATTCTGCAGTTCTGGAAAGCTTTTAAATGAAGAATAAGAGGGCATGAATGTGTATCGTCTACAGGGCAGCAGACGCAGAGTTTTTCTCTACAATGTTGGAGCTTTTTGCCAGTTGTATAAAGATATGTTCGGCTATATCGGGTAAAGAAGCCTCCATTTCTTTTTAATTGTATCAAAATTTTCAGTGGCGTAGCTAGGAAAAAATAATCGTCCCGCCGAAGGCGGTACTGTCGCACCGAAGGTGCGACTCCCCTAGGGGGTTCTGGGGCATGCCCTCCCGAGAAAATTTTGAAATCTAGGACCACGCAAATGGCATTTCCTGCCATTTCGAGGGAGGAATAATGTCACTAGACAAAGTTTCAATACACCTCTGAAAGGAGTATTTTGCCTTGATAAAATAAAAAAATGCAATCTGGCTCAGAGAAGATCCGTGTGGGCTCAGAGAAGTGCGGTGTTAGGCAAAAATATTGCCTCTGCAGCACAACGAAACACTCATCACGGCCCGAATAAGTATTGATAATAATAGAAGTAAAAAAGAAACTAACGTGTTTTTCGGAATGCTCATCACGGCCTGAATAAGTATTGAGAATAATAAAAGTAAAGAATAAACTAACGAGTTTTTCACAATGCTGCAACCTGCATTTATTTACTGAAATGTGAAAACGAGTAAAAAATCGATGAGGTCATGTGTGCATGAATTGCCCATAAATTCAACAGCGCACAGGTGAGAGTATACCAATAAACATCATACGTAGAAAACACAGAAAAAATGTAAAGATCAGTATGAGGAGGGAAAAATACATAAAATGAGGTCACCACTACTGTGGGTATCTCCCCAGAAATTTAAATGTGCAGTTCTATGTCTTAGTTAAATGAGGTAACCACTACTGTGGGTATCTCGCCAGAAATTCAAATGTGCAGTTGTATGCCTAAGTTAAATGGGGTCACCACTACTATGGGTATCTTCCCAGAAATTTAAATGTGCAGTACTATGCCTTAGTTAAGTGGGGTCACCACTACTGTGGGTATCTCCCCAGAAATTCAAATGTGCAGTTGTATGCCTAAGTTAAATGGGGTCACCACTACTGTGGGTATCTCCCCAGAAATTTAAATGTGCAGTTCTATGCCTTAGTTAAATGGGGTCACCACTACTGTGGGTATCTCCCAGAAATTTAAATGTGCAGTTCTATGCCTTACTTAAATGGGGTCACCACTACTGTGGGTATCTCCCCAGAAATTTAAATGTGCAATTGTATGTCTTAGTTAAATGAGGTCACCACTACTGTGGGTATCTCCCCAGAAATTTAAATGTGCAGTTCTATGCCTTAGTTAAATGGGGCCACCACTACTGTGGGTATCTCCCCAGAAATTTAAATGTCCAATTGTATGTCTTAGTTAAATGAGGTCACCACTACTGTGGGTATCTCCCCAGAAATTTAAATGTGCAGTTGTATACCGTATACTATTTATTACTGACCATATTGATCAGACTACTAATTACCAGACAGACCTGAAAAAGGAAATCATTCAAGAATTCATGAAAACAGACAACGATAATTACCATCCCTGAACCAAAATGAAAATAAAACGCTATTAGTATCATTTATAAAGAAAGGCAAGTCTCCTAGGTTTTTCAACAAACTTCTTAACAACTTCATCATGCAAGACATTGGTATCTTCCTTAAGTTTTATAATGTCTTTGTGAATGGAAATCCTACAAAGAGAACTGAGCCGAGCCTGACCCATTCTGTTCCTTAAATATCCTTTCACCCTTTTCAAACAAGAGAATGATCGTTCAACCGAAGCACTCGACAAAGCCAAGACTCCATTCATTTTCAATAACTTCACAGCTTCTGGTAAACTAGATTGGAGATTAAATTGAAAGATATATTTTAGTACTTCTAGTATTTTCAATAACTTCACAGCTTCTGGTAAACTAGATTGGAGATTAAATTGAAATATATATTTTAGTACTTCATTACTAGCCTCTTTGTGGAAATCCTTGTCGTTGTAAATAAAAGTACGTTGGCTCTGAAGTGTTGGGTGATCAAAAAGGGTTCCATACATTTCTTTGAGAATGTTGAATTTCTAAGGACGTGCAACCCCATTCCACGTTGAAAATACCTTTGGATTTACAAGATCTAAAAACTCAAATCGTTTCATATCCTGGAATCTCTCACTTAACATTCCTGCAATAGAATCAATTATCTCAAAATAAAGTTGTTTGTAGTTGTGCTTCTTGTCAGCCCTGCTAACAGGTTGGCCATCTTTGTCTACTGCTTCTTGATAAAATTTATCAAAATCTTCATCAGTGCGAAGAGCAGAAACGAAGTTCTTGAAACGTTCAATCCTGCTTATGCCATAGCTGAAGTCCGTACCTGTATTTTGAAGCACTGAATACAGAATAGAAGACTGCTCTAAAATCTTTTAAAAAACACATACCAAAAAACAGAAAAGGAAACTATTAAGATAGTGCAGTAAACCACTAACCTTATCCAATGATTCATCATCCCAACCATCAGGTTGATCAGTTACTTCATCAAAAACCTCTAAAAGTTTCTCATAATTTTTATATAAAACATTAATAACACGGGCTCGATAGTACCACCTAGTATCACCAGGATTGGGAAACTCAAGATTATGGGATGTCAGAAATGCCTTTCTTCTAGGAGCATTACTTGTAAAAGTACTAAAGGCACTACCAAAGTACTAATAGATGAAGCAGACTCACTGGCACAAAACAAGATTTAACCTGTGAGCTGCACAATGGACAAATTGAGCAAAAGGATACTCTCGACGAACCAAAGTTTGAACACCATTAATGTGGCCAGACATGACAGAAGCACCATCATGCGTTTGCATAATTAGTTTCTCCTTGATGTTAGAATACTGACCAAGTTTATCTTTGACAACTTGAGATATTGCAGCAGCATTCCTATTCATTCTGGCATCCACAAGTCCCAATTGTCTTTCGACAATTTCATTGTCTTTATCTAAACGAACAATCATACTTACCTGCTCTTTGGTGGAAACATCAGATGCCTCATCAACCTGCACACTCATAAAAGTACAATCATTGATCTGCTTCAAAATTTCATCATCAATAACGGAATCAAGACAATTAATCAAATCACTTTGAATTTCAGGAGAAACCCCAGTAAAACGTCCACCCCCACCCCTTTCAGACTCAGCCAATCTACCATGTAATCTTCGTTCAAATACAGAATCAAACTTGGCAAAAGACTCGAGCAACTCTCTATAATTATCTTTATTCAAGCTGTCTTCTGATTCGTCATGACCTCTGAATGCCAACTCCTACTTAGACAAATATAATACTGCTTCAGTAACTGTTTTTAAAATTTCACGGTTTTGCCTTACCTCTTCATTGTGACGTTGAATTTCATCTCTTCTTGCTTGTGAAAGAAGAGAATCCACCCGTACATTCGCTCCATACGTCTTCCACATTATAAAAGCAGCTAAGTGCGACCTTGTCTTCTCATGTTTCTTGCCATCAGACATCAAGCTTCTCATGTCGGTGTAGCCAGTCTTTGTCCACTTTGGTGAAGTTCCCGGACAAAACAAAAGACAAGGCCAACAAAACAATTTTTCTAAAATAGAGCTGCCACAAAGCCAATCCTTTTACAATACCACTCCTTCATGGACGACCTACTCTTATTCTTAATCGTTAAATTCGGAGTTGGTCGAACGGAGAAAGGCCTTATCAACAAAGCATTTGCAATATCGGCTTCACATAGTTGAATAGCAACACTCACAGGATTCGTCACGCTCGTTGAAGCCATTGTATACAAATCACAAAATATGACATGAATAATATGATAATAACCTGCCGTCATAGTCGTGAGTACTCGCGCAGAAAGCTTCTTGCGAAAGGTTGAATATTAACAACCTCCACCTTTATAAATTAGCGGGATTTCGGCATTAAAAACAACCGTTCTGGGCATGCGCTGCGCCAATTATCCAACCAGAAACCAGAATTTCTTGTATAAGATAGTATTGCATATTCCGCCACATGAAAATCAGCGGAACACGAGATATGCGACTACGCGAATTGCGTGAGTAAGCAATAAACTGCGTGGAAATTAGTTGCTAGGCAACAAAAAGGTCAAAGAGCAGCAGCACAGCAGCATTATTGCGTGATATTCAAATAAACAACAAGTGAAAGGCTTGAAAGCGTTGAAAAAACTATGATAATAAATCTTTAAATTTTCAAAATAGGCAAAGTTGTGATTTTGGTTTCACTATATTACATTTCTTTATTTTTTTTGAAACTTTTAGTCCCGCCGGGCGGGACAGCTGGACCGCTAGCTACGCCACTGAAAATTTTATGCTATTGCATGTCTTTATTCTTTGTGTAGTGTGTTCCAAACAGTTTTAGCTATAAAGTATATATATTTATTTTTTGGGGGCCCGGTATCCATGCTATTTAGCCAATCAAGTTGCGTCGTTTGCAGTCCAGTATTTCAGGATGCGGACCGCACAACCGGACCGCTGCGGATTGCAAGCAACAATAACAAAAAAAATCGAAATTGAATAAGTTTTTAAAAGCTAAAAACACTCTAACGATACACAAGGTAATGTCTGTAACTGAAACTATATATATGTTATTTACCGGATTGGAGGTCCGTATAGAGAAATATTTCTCGAGGTCTTAGAAACGGCCCGAGGCCGAAGGCCGAGGGACATTTTTAAGACCGAGAGAAATATTTCTCTATACGGACCGACCATACCGGTAAATAATATTTTTATTTTTTTTTAATGCCTCCTCTGGATTTCCCCAATCACTCCTCCCGCACGCGAATGAAGCTGCCAAATAAAACGTCGTTTCTATCAATGCTATCGGGAAGAGAAATATCTTTTGTGAGATAGTAAAATTCGTTTTCACTGTGTTTTTCATCGTCTGCAGACATTTTAATGTTTTAAAAAGTAGCCTTTAAACTCGTCTTTAAATTTTGAAAAATAAAAACATTGGCTCTATGGCTTTAAATCTCGCGCGGTCCGTACGGGTTCATACGGACCGCTCACGTAGCCAATCAGATTGCAGAAAAGCGTAAAATATGACTTCGGACCGCAAGAAAAAAAATAAATTATACTAATAAATTAAATATGTAACTTTGAATTTTGAGATGGGGTGGCCTCTTCACACAAGCTCTAAGCTTCTTGAGATCTCCTCGCCGACTTTATTTTATTATAATATCTTGTAAATAGCAAATTTGGCAAATAAACCAATAATAATAAGGTAGAAAATGAACTAAAATAAGTTCAGCAGAATTTATTTCAAGCACGAAATGTACATTACAGCGTTTAGAAAGCGACAAAAACGAATGTTTCTTTGACATAAACATCGAAAGAATTACAGAAATATATACCTTTTTCATTGTCGTACTGAGTGGAAGAGCAGCAATTGCACCGAAACTAAAGATATTTTGTCATGTCGTTTTGCCGTTTTGGCTGTTTGGCAGCCATACTTGAAATTGAAAGTAACAAACACAACTGATCTCAAATCTAGTTCGGAATACTGTAATTTTGGGTCTGCGCTCATTTCTATATACATCAACCAAATTATGGAATGATTTAGACAATAACACTAAAGATAGTTCAAGTATTGGAGTTTTTAAAAAACTAGTATGAAAGAGAGTGCAGGAAGAGTTCTGGAACAACTCAAAATAATTTCATATTCTAGAACTTTAGCAATACATGCATGTATAAGTACTTTTATTATATCTATAAATGAATTTTTATTTTACTAAAAACAAATTTTCTGGGGTGTAAGACCACCTTAAACAAACCTTGCCTATACATGGTAATACCCCTTTACCCCTTTGGCATGTTACGATACAATGACGAGCAAAAACAACCGGTATAAACAAGGATACGAAAGGCCTAATCTAACGGTTAAAAAATGCAGCACTCTAGTTTCCCCAATAGAAAATACAGGTATTTTAGACAGTTTAGCACTGCCGATCAATATTTCAAGTGCAGTATTTTGGTAAGTCGATATGAAATATTGTTAAAATATACTTACAGTCTCAGTTGCTTGATTTCTCTCAGGCTTGTTTCGTATATTTGCAGAAGTATTGTTATAGTAACTATAGTGTAGGAGTCCCTTCCTGTACGATGTCAGTACGTGTTCCTGGTACAGCTACAACTGAGAGCCTGTACTGAGATGTCAGTGTATAGTAGGCAGTCTTGAAACAAGAATTCAATTTTGTTTTGTATTATAAAGTGACATGTTATTGCTTTTTTAATTGAATTTATCTGACCTTGAAACGAGTGTAATTAAAAACCCGAAGCGTAATTAAAAACGTCTCCCACACTGTAGTTATAGAGATCAGTATCAAAAGGGTGTCATTAATTATTCTGAAACATAAATCTAATTCCCTGTGGGAGTGAAAATGCATTCTAATCGCGCGAGAATTAATAAATCTGTAGAAATTTGCACGCAACTCTACGACTTTTATTATTTAATCATGTCAGGTCATCAAAAAAGACAAAATTAATTATTTGAGCTGAAATGCCGGCAAGACAAACGCGATATCGTGACGTTGACACTTGAAATCAAAGTATTAATATTATGCAATATATTACATGATCGTAATCTCATTTTGTGTCGACAATTATATTTCGCGCGACATGCCCTGTTCTAAGTTGAAATATTTTAATTAAATGCAGGACGAATCGCAGATGTCAATTACAGAAAAACATTTGGATTGCTTTCTTTGAAAGAATGATGAGAATATTTACGAATAATTTTTAAAAATTCTTCCAGGTTATTTTAGTTATTGAGATGTTTAAGATGAAAAGCACGCATCTATAATCTGTTCGCTATTTTGTCTTATGATTAGATCTAATTAAATGATGTCAGAAGCAGGGTAAATTTTTCAGACCCCGTGACACTAAGCAAAAAGATTCCCGATTCGTCACAAATCCGAAATGTTTCGATATCGGATTCGTTTTGCCGTTTACACTAAAGAGCATGAATCCGATACAAAATTATCACAGATAGAAAATGAATCCGAAACTTTTGAATCCAGAAAAGTTTGTGGGTTCTTTGTATCCGATAAAGTGTGAATCCGAGAGCAACCTCTCCTTTTTCCTTCAAACACTTTCCAATAAGAATATATTCGAATGAATTTTCTTCCTCGTACGTCTCTCGAATTTATTGCTATTATTTTCAACAGCCAAACACGGTCGAACATCACAAAATTATGCGTCAAAATTGTGCCTCATTGTCAATCGCTGTGCCAGGTGGTGTAAACACCTCATGAATCCGTACACTTGAAAAACAAGGAATCCGCAAAGTTTTACGAATCCAGAATCTTTTGCCCTAGTATAAACGGGATCTCAAAATTGAAAAAAAATATGGAAATAAAGCCAATCCATAGCTTTTTCTTTAAGATGGACGGGACAAAAGGGGAAAAATATCGTTAAAATGAACAGAGAAGTTTTCAAGTTGCAGTATAATTTTGGCCTGACTATATATGATGCCACGCCTTTCCAACGCTGGCGAAATGTAAGGTAATTTCGTTCGAAACGAAGCTTCTAACCTTTTATATACCAAAAACGATATCAAAATCTGTAAAAGATTTCAAAATATATTCAGTATTCATATTTTATATTTTTCCCATTGCTATATATTCCCTTTAAATTTAGCCTGATTATTGTTTGGTCATGCATAAGTATTATTATTTATGTACTGTGTTCTTGGTTTCTTGTTGGCTAAAAGCCTACTACAGATAGTTTTAGGTATTTGTAGGTGCCCGCGATACTTCAGCGGAACAGTAATCTGCACATTGAATCTGCATAGGTTTGTACGGCGCCCGCTGTTTTGTGTGAAATTACAAAATGGCGAACTTTCTTAGTTGAGCGTCTTTTTGAATTGTTTACAATAGCAAATTCTTGTTTCGTAACATTTACAACGTACGAAATTGAAAAAATAGTCGAAAACTTACAAGGACTCAACCAGAAAAAAGTACAAAACTGGAAAGAAAAGTTTAGAGCCAAAAGAACCGCCAGAAATTAGCAAAATGCTTGCCAGTTTTTATGTGGATGGAAGGAAGAAACTAAGAAAGTCTTATTCAATGGGGACATTGAATAAGGCAGGTATTACAACGCGAAACGTGGAATAGATGTGCGCATTTATTGATATTCATGAAAATTTAATGAATCTAATTAATTTTCTTTGTTTGATCTTATTGTTGCCTATTTTGTTCTGCTGTCACATACTGAATAATAAAACAATGATTGAATTCACCTTGCGGAGGATTTCCGGAATTATTCAGACCTCGATAAATGTTATTTGATAACATTGGATAACAGAAACCATTGGCCTCGGCTTGAATAATTCTGGAAATCCTGCTCAGGCTCATCCAATAACTGCCAATGTCAAAATGCCATAGTAATACGTGTGGGTCTCAGAGACTATTTCAAGCACGCAAAGAAATAAAGCATTATAATGAAAAGTCCATAATTGAAGGGCAAAAAGTGCGAATTATTCCTCATATCACGATGAGCTAATCACAAGCACTAGAATATTCAATATAGTAGTCAATTTTCAATATGCATGCAGAAGATAATGACATCAAAACAACTCGAATTAGCCCTTGAAGTGGTGTTTGCATTACGAAAACTATATTTTCACACGCATGCATCAATGAAAACTTGGAATTAAAAGATTCAAGTGTAGTTGTTTGTTGCGGAAACATTAAAGCAATTTTAAACAGTGTGCAGCTCTGATCCTCAATTTAACATTGACTACAAGTATAAACATCACTCGTTATTGCCTGCAAATTAACGCTTTTAAAAACTCATTGGCAAATCCTCATGCACTCCTTGGTTGTGCACTCCTTGGCTGTCTATAGTTTGTATTGTAATCATTCTTAGTATGGCACAGATTATATATTTACATAGCATTTACATATAATATAGCATTTGTAAATTCTAAACGTTGATTGGCTAACAGCCGTGTTGATAAAAATCATATAATAATTTCCTTTACCTGTAAAAAACTTTTACCGTATCGATTTTATTACTGTCTTAATATTAAAGTAAGTTAGGAAGGAATAGATTTGATGTAAATGTGGATTTGAAGAATTTTATCACGGCATTCTTTCTCTTCGTTGCTGAAGGTCGCATCAAAATCGATTTTTTGCTGCTTGAATATCATCTTGCACTTGAGCATCTTGTACAAGACATTTTCGTGTCGATCTGTCCATCCAAACCTATCCTTCAATGCCTTCCACTTCTTGTTTGCTTCTTCTCCTTCTGGCGTGTTCATATTCGTGTTCAGCCAGAGCATCAAATTGGCAAATGTTGGGCCATGTATAACTGGTGTGTCTCGAGGGTAGATGTATGTGGCAAGGTCTTCCTCGAAATCTCTGGCGCTCTGTGATGTTTCCATGTTGCGGTATTTGGTCTCTAATTCGTCCATCTTGCGTCTATCATCATTCTTCTGGTCAGTCATTATCTTTACAGCATCCTCTAAGGCAGCAATGCTTTTTCGATTTTCATTCACGGTTTCCTCGAATTTTCTTGCTCCATCAATCATTTCTCCAGCTTTCTTTTTAGTTTCGCCTAAACCGGCCAGTTGACTGTCTAACGTACTTTTCGCTTTTCCATAGTTTGTCTGTTGAATTTCTTTTTTAGCATTTCCACCTGTATATTCAGCCAGTGCAATACCTTCATGTACTATTCTTGCTCGCTGTTCAAACATCTCCAATTTTTGTCAGAAATGAAAAACCGTGTGTTGTTTTGCTGATTTCCTGGAAAAAACGACAAAATTTATGTTACTTTTAGATATTTCTTAAATACTAGCTCTAGTAGTAACACCGCTTTTGAAAACATTTGACGCAATCATGGCAAGAAATAATTAACATATATATTCTATAATGCTTGGCTGGTTGCTTGCATGTAAATTTTGCGTACGAAATACTGATGTAATTGTGTTAAACGTTCGCGCATATACTCCGAAAATGGCGTGCATTATACCACTGATTAATACAAAATTTCTTTTAAACTGTATATAGTTCGAATCTATCGATTTAATTTGTAAACTTTTTATACTGCTGACGATGAATCGAGATTTGAAATGTACGATTCATATCAATACATGGACACTGTTTTTGATAAAACATTAATTTGTATAATAAATAAAGCTTTGTAATATTACAAGATGTTGTAAATCGCAAATCCAAACATATAGAGACGTGGTTTGCAAATTGCACGATGAGTAGGTGTTTAAAACAAAGTCTATCGACGTTCTACTGTAATATTTTTCTTCTTTATTCCACAATTTTGACAAAATTTAAGCAAATAACCGCGAATTTGGTAGTTTACAATTACTGAATGAGGTCGAGTAGGAGAGGAGGAATTATTGAGGCAGAGGTTTGTGTTATTTTTCGAAGCCGAAGGTTGAGGCAGATAACAGAAACCGAGGCCTTAATAAGTTATGTGCCGCCTTTTTTTTTCATGTGAGAGAAAAACTTCTCCAGACTTCTGTCAAGCATTTCCTTAGGCCTATCTGTAAGTCCTTGACATCCCAGACTGCGTCCGAAAATGTTCTTAGAGCATTTTTTGTCGCCTTTATTGTATTTTTGGCGTGTCCGCTAGTTTACCCATTGCCTTGAGAGGACATGTTGGAGAGAACGAGACCGTGGCTCAGCGCCCCTATCACAAATTCTCAACAAGTGTTACCGAGTATTTGGCAATTTGAAAATGCGGTACCATCGACGTCAGATGATCGTCTCCGCCACCTCATCATCTATTTATAGGGGAAAGTCAGGAAGCTGGCCCAAACCCTGACCCTAGCCCTGACTCTGACCCTAACTCCGATCCTGACCCAAACACTGAGTCAGACGCTGGGGGCTGACAAAGTTTCCACCGCCGCGCGGACCAGCCGCCCTTTTAATGACATTACGTATATAGCCTAATCATTTGTCAAATTATTGTTTAATTCCCCTAAAGAAATGTTGAGATGGCGGAGAAGATCATCTGACGTCGGTAGTACCGCATCTCAATTGAAAAATATTCGGTAATACCTGTTGAGAATTTGTGACACTGGTGCGCTCAGTGAATATGAGATTGTAACCCCCTCGCCTTCGACGACTAATGGTTAATTGGTAGAATCATATATACTACTATACTATTGCAAATGCTGAAAATATAATTGCAACATTTACATTACTCTGCTTTGGTCTTTACCGATGCAAACAATATGACATGAAATTTATTTTCGCAAAAATGAATTACAATTATTATATCATCTCCCTGTGCTTTGCTACAGCATTATTACAATTTATATGAAAAAAGATTAAAGCTGCACTAAAAATTTTAACGTATTAGTTGAAATCTTTTAACCTGCGGAAGTGTAGTTTATCGTCTTGCGACCGACCTGCGCTGGTGATACTATTCTTGTCGCAATGTAAATAAAATAATAATAAATGCCTCATCGTTTTACAACATTAAGACAAGGCGTATCATAAAATTAAACGTTTTACACGATGTACAAGGGATTTTGCGAAAGAAAATGTTCAAATTTTCTTTAAGTAAATTTAGTCGGACCTTATAGGTTGAATATGATAACCTATACGTATATCTGACATTTGCTAAATATAAACGTGGACCAGATTAAAGCCGTGATTGATGCAGTATCTGCAATACTGATATATGCCGCACTCCGAGACTACGTTTACACTGAAGGAAAAGTTTTCGGATCCGTTACCAATCCGTGGGATGTTTTCATATCTGATTCGTTTTACTGTTTACACTAAAGAGCATAAATCCGAAACAAATTTATTACAGAATGCAGAGTATGAATGCGAAACGTTTCTGGGAACTTTGTATCCAGGGAAGTGTGAATTCGAAAGCAACCTCTCATGTAAACGCTTTCCAAAAAGAATCTGAATGAATTCGGTCCCTCATATGTTTTTAAAATTTATGCTATTGTTTTCAGCAGCCAAACACGGTCGAAACATCACAAAATAACCTTACTATTTTAACCTTACTGCATTAACAGTCGCTGTGCAGTAGGCTATAATCCTCTCACGGATCCGAACAAATAGAAGAAATCCACATAGTTATACGAATCCGGACGATATCATACTTTACGATCGACTCACTTCATTTCATATGTATTGCCGTTTTGTCAAAAAAGTAAAGCTCATCTTACGCAGGGATTAAAAATTTTTGATATTTGTGATATTCAATACATTTTGAGACGATAATTATATATATAATCAGTACTGACGCCAGTTTTGTTTGTATATATATATATATATATATATATATATATATATATATATATATATATATATATATATATATATATATATATATATATATATATATATTCATATATTTGTGATATTCAATACATTTTGAGACGATAATTATATATATAATCAGTACTGACGCCAGTTTTGTTTGTATATATATATATATATATATATATATATATATATATATATATATATATATATATATATATATATATATATATATATATATTTCAATATAGTTGAAATCCATTAACCTTGCGACCGACCCACGTTGGTGACACTATTGTTGTGGTAATTTGTCCTAATGTAAATAAAACATTAATACATGCCGCATCGTTTTCCCACATAAAGATAAGCCTGATCGTAAAATTGTTTTGCACGATATATGCAAGGAATTTTGTGCAAGAAAATGTTCAAATTTTCATTAAGTAAATTTGGTAGGACCTTATAGGTTGAATATGATAACCTATACATATACCTGGTATTGGCTAAATGTAAACTTAGGCCAGTCTACAATATCTACAATATTGATATATGCCGCAATCTGAGACTATAGTACGTTTACCCTGGAGGAAAAGTTTTTGGTTTCGAATGAATTCGCATCCTGGCATGTTTTTCAAAGTTATTATTTTCAGCAGCCTAACACGGTCGAAACATCACAAAATAATATTACTATCCTCAAAATTATATATCGTGCAATGACAGTTGCTGTGCAGTGTAATTAAACCCATGAAACAGTGACCCCGTGAATTCGAACATTTGAAATTACGAATCCGGATGTAGACTAACCAATAACGTTTTGTCAAAAAAGTAAAGCTTACCTTATACAGCCATTAATTTTTGTTTTTCATATTTGTGATATTCAATACATTTTGAGACGGTATGCAATCAACAGTGACGTCCAGTTTTGTTTGTATATGATAGCTCCTGTCCGAACAGGTGAAATTAAATGGAATCGTATTTGCATTGCCTTGTTCAATTTCACTTCCGGTAACTTAAACTGCGTAACAGGCTATGAAAATGAAGTTTTTCACAAAGAAATTATGATCTTTTTAACTAGAATAAAAATTTTAAAAGGTAAATTTAAAACTTGCAAAATTTCAAAGGTCTGTAAGTGCGTACTGCTGCTTCAGTTTCGAGTTTTCAATTTCAGCTTAAAACAACAACTTTTTTCTAAATATTAGTCTCACCATTATTATATTTTATATAGTTTTAATTAATATTTGTGTGTCTAAACTATTAATTTGCTTGTTAAGTATTCCGATCTCCTTGTAAATTTTCTATAAATATTACACTGTATATATAGCTACCTAAGTATGAGGTGCCCAACGTTTTATAAGCTTTGCTTCCATGCAGTTGTGCATCCTCGCCACCTTTTAGACATTTCTTTTGTTATTTTGGTATTTTACTGTATGTTTTGTTGTGTGGTGAATTAAATTCTATCTATCTTCTATCAATCTTCTATCTATCTATAGATATTTTTAGTAATTTTTAGTAATTATGTGACGCCCCTCGTGGAAATCAACTGTTTGTAAAAAGTTGTCCGAGGCTAGCGTGTTTAAATAAAGTTTTACATACATACATACATACATACATGGTAGAGGACAACGTTAATGCATAGTGGCTTAGCTTTAATACTAAGGACACGAAACGATTTCTAGAAATAGATAAATAACAGGGAGTGATTAGCATAAATAAAAGGGAGTGATTTCCACTTTTAAGTGGAACGTTTGTTCGAAAAACCAAATCAAATGAGTGGTCATTTCGTATAAAAAAAAACTTTTCCTATGCATTTTTCTTACATATACACAGTTTATATAATCGCTCATATGGTTGGGTTGCATCACAGATAAAGCATACGAAAAAGTAAACGAAAATAGACTACTGCATGCTTCATGGCTCACAAAAACATTTCCGCACACAAAAACATGCAGAAAGGTTTGATTGGACTGACAAAACACGTGGCTAGTAGTTAATTTGCTTTCTTAATCCATTGCTGAAGAACGCAAGTTTAACAATTGTTTAATATATTTCAAAGCTGGTTTAAAAGCTGTTATATATAATAGAGGGCCAAATATCCGAAGAGGGGGGGGGGCATATTTCCTAGGAAATTTGGCAAGGTGGGGGGCAAATTTTCGGGGGGTGGGGCAAATTTCCTGTGACACCGGCCTTGCTCGGTCCGGAGGATACCTAATCTCGGTCATGAAAATGGCTCTCGGCCTCATGATCTCAAATGATAATCTTTCTCCATATTTGAAATTTGCTCGCTTTGCGAATGCGCGAATACTCTCGAAAAGTATTGCATATTTTTAAGTATTGCCAGCATATATGCTCACCTTTAAAGTTCCTGGAATCTTTAGAGTAGCTTACAAACTTGCGTGAGTTTCAAACTTTTCGGATAACAGTTTCTCGCAGTGATGCAGTATATAGAGAGAGAATGTTAAAAGTTGATAACGCGTAATGACAAACATGTCCAAATAGTGTGGAAGTTATACGTAACAATGCTTTGCGGTATTTATGCCAACATGGACAATAATTATTGAAAAATATTGTTCAGAATTGGAAGTCAGAAATTGGAACTCAGAAGTCGGAACTCAGAAGTTAGAAGTCGGAAGTCAGAAGTGGCCATCCTCGGCCATCGTAATAATTATATTATACCAAAACTTGTATTTATATAAATATATTAAATAATTAATAACTTTATGATGATTAAAAATGTATGAGTAAGTAGCCGCTCGATAACTTGTTTAAGAAAATTTTCTTGAAGTAAGAATTTTTTTCTTGGGAGAATAACAAGAAAATTTTCTTATTAAGAAAACTTTCTTAATAATTAAATAGATTTTCTTGTCAAGAGAATTGTCCTAAAATAAGAAAAAATTTTCTTAAATAGATTTTTTCTTAAGATAATTGTCACACATGAAATAACCTTGAAATGTTCTCAAGGATTTCTTGTTTTTTCTTCTTAAATTTCTAATAGTACGAAGTTGTTCTCCTTCCCCTCCAGCTATAATTTGTCGGTGAGCTTAGCATAGGTTTCACTTTTGCGTGTTTTCGATCGATACAAATTCGCAAATACTGGACTCCCCTTATTAGTAATTCCTACAGCTGTGTTGCATTGTGGTTTTGTGGTATTTCTGATATTCAATATGTCTCATTTATGTGCTGACCCGTGCAAGAGCTCTTAGAAAAGCTACGGTCAGGTGTACGATGAAATTGATGAATAGAGCAGGGCTCGCGGAGCGTATTAGAGAGTGGGGGGGCTCATAGGCGTACGGGGCCGCTAAATTCTGGGGGGGCGGTAGCTTTTTTGCCCAAAAAATTCCACATTGCCCAAAAAATGTCAACAAATTTTTTCCGGAAAAATTATTTTGCCGACCCCCCCCCCACGTCGCCAAAAAAATTTCGGTCAGTGTACCATTTTAGGGGTCAAAAAAATTTCCCGGACAACGAAATTTTTCGGAACATAACACAAATTGTCCAAAAATCACAAAATTTGCCAAAAAATTTACTTAATTTTAGACAAAATTTACAGAATTTGTCCCATTTTTTTTAATTCAAACCAAAATTGCCCAAAAATTTGCCCAATCTGCCCAAAAAACTGGGATATTGCCCAACTGCCCAAAAAACTGGGGGGCTACCGCCCCCCCCCCGCCGCCCCGCCCCGTACGCCTATGGGGGGGCTAAAGGGTGAGGTTTAATTAATTTAGAAAGTTTCATTTAGATTTCTATTTTAATAATTTTGGCTGTCAAAAAAAGTGGGGGGGCTAAAGCCCCCCCAGCCCCCCCGTCTCCGCGGTCATTGTAGAGAGAAGCTCATGGGCCTCGGCTGAAAAAAAAACGCAGATAACTTTATTTGCGAAGTTTCTGTATAGTTTCTACGAGTGTCTCATTTATGTGCTGACCCGTGCAAGAGCTCTTAGAAAAACTACGGTCAGGTGTACGATGAATAACAACAACATTTTTGCCAAATTGTTCATTATTTTCATTCAAGTTCGTTATCTTAAATATCAGTGATATTACTAAAACCACAATGAGTGTTAAGTGGTGTTCCGGTGTTCCGGGGGTGTTCCGGTGGTGTTCCGGTGTTCCGGTGGTGTTCCGGTGTTCCGGTCGTCAGTGTTTTACTACATGCCGTTTTTCAAGATCTCTTTAGAGAAACAAATTTAGTGGATATTCGTTGTTATTTTAGCCTCGTTCAAACATTGGTTTGTTGATAAATTCATAAAGATATAGAATTACACAAAACAGCATTATTATTGATACTCCTACTTTGCGTGTTTTGCTCGACGAAAATAAAGGCGTATAAATCGTCGCATGGCAGACTGCTGCACAAATTTGCCATCAATGTGCTTTTATAGAGTTGATACGCTTTATACATTTATTTAAGTGTGGTTCAACTCCGTTCTAAATAGACACACCGTCATCGGAGTGCGCTACATGTTCACTGTATGTTTTAACCTTGTGCTTGGTAATGCATGAATATGTGCAATTTCGAATCATTTATTCACTCCCGTGCAGCATAATCAGTCGATACATTTGAAGTTGACCCACACTCAACTCCATAGAAAAAACGCTAAGTGGAATGCACCAATAGTGGATTACCAAGAAAAGTAAAACTGGCTGAATACCGAGAAACTAGTGCTAGCAAAATAACGAGAAAAGGAATGCTTTCAAAATTCCTGGAAAATTAAAGAATGCTAGCGGTTAGCGGAATTTTAAGAAAAGGATTGCTACTAAATTCGGTAAAAAGAAAACCACCCAAATGCCGGGAAAATTAAGAAATGCTATAGCGAAATACCAGAAAAAGATTACTGGCTAAATATACCGATGGAATGGAATGCTAACAAAATACTGGTGTAGCAAAGTCGATAATGGACCGATAGCGTATAATATATGCGAAAAATGTAACCCTGTGAAGTTTGCAAATTTTGTATATTTTTGTATTACGCACGGAAAACTGATACCACTATCGAGAAAAAGATATCAATTTTAATTCCGTGCGTAATACTAAAATACACAAAATTTGCAAACTTCACGGGGGGAAATTCCCCCCCCCCTTTTTTTTCAGGGAGAGGGGCATATTCATATTTTCGTGTTCTGCATTATTAATGTCTTTTGAAATTGATTGCTTTTAAGGTCTGTGAACACTCCCCCCGCTCCCCACCCTCCATTACTGTCGATCTTGCTTCGCCACTGCTTGTTTTAAATTAACCAAACGTTGGCTAAGACGTATATAAGATATTCGATGACAACATGGCAATCGCTGTCGTTCACAATGCCCGTTGCTATGACAGCGAATTGGCTTGGCATAGTCTTTTCAGTATTTACAGATGGATGTTGGAAGCTTCTCGCCATTTTCTTATGTGAAACCAATGTGAAACGCAAAACCGTTTGTATGCGACAGCTTCGCACCTTGAATAGAGCGCCTTAAATGTAGAGAAGCCAATGGGCCTCGGCTGAAAAAAAAAGCACATAACTTTATTTGCGAAGTTTCAGTACGTTTCTACGAATGTCTTCAACTAATTTGAGCCGCGGTATATTTAGATCGTATATAGCTTATTAATGGGCTTAGTTTCTGTCTCGTATAAATAGCACTATAATGGGGCGGAATACAATGAACCTTTGCGGCGTCTTGTTTTTTCAGGGTGAAGTCATGTAGGTTTACCCTAACAAGATGAAGATAGAGACAGATATTTTGATTATAAGATATTTTACTAAAAGACATTTAGTATACAGATATTTTGATTATTTTTTTTATTTATAACAGTACAACGATTTTATTAAAATCATTTTAAAATTAATTTTGCAATTTTTCGAAAGTCTTTGTCAGTTTTGGTGTAATACCACCTTAAAGGCACATATGCACACGTGCAAATCTAGTAGAAATTTGGCATATGTTCAGTGAATAATTTCAAGATGTAATGGTTGGAGTTATGAATAAAATTAAAATAAAAGAGGGGGTTTATGGATAATTCGGACTTCCAAATATAAAAGACCTGGACCCTTCTATAGGTTCAGACATTCTTGTTACGTATTTATATATTTTGCAGCCTTTCAATGTACCCCCGTGTTTTTTGAGGAACTGTACTCTGATATTTAAAGTTTTTACCTATCGATATTATACTTACAAGATCGTCATTCACAGGGACGCCGGAACGATAAAATGGCAAAGGGGGGCAGACGCACACGAAGGGCACCTCTATAGATCAAACGTTCAAAATCTACTTGAAAATCTTTTTTAAAATGGAAATTGTTTGAGCGACCCCCCCCCGTCGCCAAAAAAATTTCGGTCAGTGTACCATTTTAGGGGTCAAAAATTTTTTCCAGACATACCAAATTTTCATTTATCCAAAATATTTTTCTAAGATCCTAAAATTGTCTAAAATTTTGTAAATTATCTTTCTCTGGGCCTATAAATTACCTGAATCTCATGATTTTGTCCGAAAAACCATCTCTGGAAATGTGATTTATCACGTAGTATTTTACAACTAAAAGGGCACTACTGCCCCCCTGCCCCCCTAGCAAAAGGCAAGAGGGGCAGCCGCACCCTCCTGCCCCCCCCCCAGTTCCGGCGTCCCTGGTCATTCATTTCGTATTTGATTTATGATTGCTCTCAGTTCTGCTAGTTCGTTTTGCTGTCTTGTAAAATTATTTCGTAATTCTACGAGCTCGTTTTGCGTTTGCTCTAGATTATTTTGTGTTTCTGTCTGCTGAGTTTGGAGTTCAGTTACATCTTCTCGTAATTGTTTAATCACATCATCCTGTTGAAATATCTCCAGCTCATGACGGACTATGGATCTTATGTGGTCATCTTCATTCTCTTCAGCAATCGCTTTATTTTGTTGCGCTGCTGTTTTGCCTTCGATTAATTCGTTCATCAGTTCTTGCAACTCGTTTTGTACCCTTGGCGGTATCGCCAGGCCAACAATTAACTCTTGAATATTTACAACTCTTCTTATAAACGTATCAAACTTCTCTGTTGCAGGGAATTCAACGTTCATCATTTTACTTACGGTTTTACCACTTTACTTTATCTTTCTTGATTTTCTGTAAAAGTATAAATAAACTAACCTATAAATTTGTCTCTACAAGAAACTTTTGGGTGCAATATTTTTCTATAATTTTAAACATTTTTACACTCCGAATGCTAAAATAATTTTGGAATTAGAAGCTAAGAAGCAATGTTAAGATGTCGACTTCGACTAAGCTTTGGGTTTATATCAGTATTTAAAAACCAGAGTATTGCCAGAGAAATGATAGCATTTAAATGTCGGGTTTTTAATTATTTGAATGATCCTATCTTTTAAAACAACTATAAATATGTGGGCTCTTAGTCCGCTTGTCGGCAACAACTTACATGCAAAAGAAAAATATAGTAGAAAGGGTGAAACTTTACTGGCATGCGAAGAAACTGTAGGGAAATCTGGTTGTTTTGCAGAAAGGATTGTTAGTTTGCTACGACTTACATCATATTGCATTGCGAAGGTTCAAGACATGCAGTAGGCAGACAAAGTTAATATAACACGATGATATCGAGGCAGCGTTAGTTTTTTACCCGTGGTTGGTACGAAAATAAATGGCTTGGGTAAGCAGTTTTGAGAGCCAGGGATTGGGTAGTTACTTTTCTAAATTAAAACAAGTTGTATACGCATGAATTTATAAATAAGTTTTAACTCAACATAACCCATAAATCCAAAAATGTCATAAGTAAAGCACTTACCAGTCTGAATAGACTTGAGTAATCTTGATTTCAAGACGACAGATAAATTCAGCAGTATCATAACATTACTTGTTTTGGACTTCATATATAACTGATAAATTTGTCAGAATTGTTTGCTTTAATAGGGTTTTAAACTGATTAACATTTGAATATAAATCACAGTAGAAACAGCATCCCTATCGGGTTTTTTTTGTACCAGACAATATTTTAATAAGTGTATTCAAGTTTAGGACCGACTTACGCCTAAAATATTGCATTGTATGGAAAGTTTTATTGTACTCCCAAAGTCGTTCGCTACCTAACTTTAGAGAGTGAAGAGATTTAGAGAACAGTCGCTAGCAACTACGAGGTCTCATGTCGTGTGAACAACGAGATGGTTATTACGTATTTGGGTATATATAAACTTATCTTTCTCGCAGCTTGACAAGCGAGTCATTTCTAAAATGCCGTATCCGCTAATTTTTTTTTCAATATATCAGCTGTCAAAATACGCCGTGTTACCTGTTAGTAATCAACTTTCTTTTGATTTATGAAGTGGGGGAGTAAAGCGGGAGTGGTCGAGAGAGGAGTATATGTTTGCCCAATTTTCATGTACAGAATCTCGAACTATAATGCCTTATCTGACTCCCTTAATAAGTTTACCAACCAATAATACCGGTAATCCTAAACTGATGCTTTCGGGGTTCTGTACAAGAAAAATCAGTTGGCATGTTAATCGGAATGACATGAACAAACTTTATGCGGTTTTACTCACTTTCCATGCATGCATATATTGTAAAAATGCGTATCAGTTAAAACCCACTAAATTTTTAACCTTTACAAGAAATCGTAGCAACAATAATTATATCATACTAAGCAAAATTTGTAGTTTGTACAATTTTTTTGCAGACAGGTTGCCGAAGCTTTGATTTACAACTTTGATCTAGCGAAGTGGATTGGGCGATAACGTCGTACAAAACGACGTTCGATTTTCAAAACCATTTAGAAAATAAAAAACAACTCATAAATTTTCCTATCGAAGTTTAAATAAACATGTCACAAAAAGTCCGTTGTTCATAACAATCCACAGAAACTTCGCGGTTTCCGTCTAAACACAATGACCTCTGACGGAGCTGAAAGGCTAAGTGTCACTCGCTATAGAATTACACAAATACACTGTTGCAGACCTGAGACCCTACATCCATGCAATTAGTATCTAGTAAGGTGTGTAAACACTGGCCCGACGAATGATACAGATAGGATTTACATAAACCATGCACTACAAATCATTTAAAATCGTATTGTGCAGGGACAGTGAATGAATCAATAAAAACTATAACAATGTCAAAACGATGCAATATTTAGCTATAAAATGAGTGTCATATACTAAAATTGTTTAAAATTACCTCAAATTTCGATAATACAAACAGTGTTATTAGATGCCAAGTTTGAACAAATTAAATAGGCAATGAAATGCAACTTATATTTAAAAAATCCCAAAATTGGTTGTTTAGGAACAGCTCGGGCCGATGCTTGATTGGTTGCGTCATTTCCATATTTTCGAATGAAACGTTTGACAATAATAAACACAACAATTGCATTCTCAAAAGAATTGTAGAACTCATGTATGGACATGAACCCCATGCTCATGGTAACAGTTGCATCATGTCGTGATTGGTGAAAATTATTGACGGCATTTGTTTCTTTTGGTTTTAAACCATCTTCTGTCGTCACATTACGATCCAGTCAATCACAATGAAGTTGATATCCTCACGGGTTACTTTTGCTTGTAACTATCTCCAAGTTTTCTGATGTTGCGTTCGTGAAAACAGTCACCAAAATGCTGATTGTGCAGTTTTTAATTGCCAACCAAGTTGATTGAAATTTCTCGAAGCCTGAAGTGATATTGATTATTGTTTGTTTTCAATGCTATTGAATTTTCTATTATGACACTTTAGTAGTTCCCGGTTGGTGTTTGTTGCAATGACTATATGCGGTATATTCCTTAATTTTGCCCCGAATTTTTTATCGGATCTTGCTTATTTCGATTTCGAATTATTTTCGTGAATGTGTCAACCATATGGAATAAAATTCTCCGAAAAGTCAACACTTTCCCCCAGCTAGTGAACACAAATTGGTCGCTTGCAAATGTGCTACGTACACAGGAATGACTACCACCCTGCTAGGGAAATACAATGCTAGCCAGTGTCTCAATTTATAAACAGCTTCAAACATGTATATCTAAATAGATTTGATATAACTGATTGTATAATGTACATGGCGAGCACGGATTGTTACTAGATAGTTGATTTGTTTAGGGATTTAGAATGGCTTTAAGTGTATATGTACTTTTCATGCCGAGTAATTTGAGTAAAATCTTAGTTAAAAAAAAGTTTCGTCACAAAAGCCATATTAGTACATACTCAAAATAAAAACATAATCGTATAACAACTGTGTTTGTATCCCCCAACGTCATAAACACATTATTATTCAGTTCTTTATTTACTCAATTTTGATTGGTTAATTTACCTGCAAATAACTGCGTACAAATACTACGTCAACTGGAAATAATTGGTATACAGTTTACTGAGCATGCGCACTTAGTTCAAAACACGTTCAGCTGCAAATAATAATTTGCTCATGCGCAGTTGACTATATGACTTCGCGACCGGGTACTGGATTAGACAAACATGGCTCTTTTGCATCAATTTTGCAGAGTACTCTGCAACCGAGTTATCGTGTTTGCTTGAAGAAAAAGACGCAGAAAACACTAAATTTACTAAAACGCAGCTGTTATGACTATTTGTCGTTTTTGCCAAATTTTGCAAAATATGAGTTAAAGGATTTATATTGACAATGATTGTAGTGACTCCTCCGACGTTGTATTCTTGTAGTTAGGGACTTCCTAGCGGCGCTAGTGACAATAGATCGTAAATAATAAAATGAATACTAAAACAATTATTGAACTCTATCGCAAAATATCGTGATTTATCAGTGGCTCGCAGATCAATTATTTGCCTCCGCCTTTGGCATCGGCAAATAATTGATCTGCTCGCCACTGATAAATCACGATATTTTGCTCAACCTCGTCCAATAATTGTATATTAAATTCAAGCTTATTAGCAGATAATGACATTGACTAGTACGTACGCGTCGATCACTGATTTCGACATTTAACTGTATTCTGTAGTTGAACGATTATTTGTCAAAATTTTTTGTGGCTAGCCGGTCAGAGGCTAGCCACTATCATACGAAAGCAAGGATGTCTTTCCGTCGAAGATAGCCGACAATTTTCGCCCGTCAATCTATTCGTACGATCATCTCCGATACGACAGTCGGAAGACGTCAGAACATTTAAATATATTTTTTCAAATTGGTATAATAATCGATGTTCGAATACATGAAGTACGAAGATAAATAGTGGTACAAACCTACCCATGGAGGTAGTTATACACAATCTACCGTGAAGGTAGCTCAAAATATTAATATTAATCTACCCATGGAGGTAGTTTACAATATAAACAATCAACCCGTCGGGGTAGTTTAAAATATCAACAATCTACCGGTAGAGGTAGCTGAAAATATATACAATCTGTACAGAATAACGTACAGCTCCTAATTCGTTTGATTGCCTTAAAAGATCTCAGTTTGCCTTGAAAAGCTAACGCTGAAGCTAGGCAGTTGTACGGCAAAATAGCATTGTTCTACACAATCTACCGCTGTGACTAACTCACGAGCGTTCGTTGCAGATTTGAATATTTAATCAGGTTAGTGTTAGGTTTATAATTAGGGTTTGGGTTAGGATTAGAATGACGTAACCGCAACGAACGCCCGGGCGTTAGTCAACCCCACAATCTACAGCCACACTTGGCATAAGATCAACTTTCGTAATGGATGATGTTCATTGGTTGGCGATAGTGTCGGAAATGAAATTTAATCAATATTAGTTCCAGCTAAGCGTAAATTTTTTGGTGAGCACACTTAAAGATGCTGTAAAGTCCGTTCTGCGCATTTATTCTGCGCATCAACACATTCCATCAGTGGGGGAGCAACCTTTGGAATGTTGTTAATATTTCGCACCTTCCGAACTTTCTTGAATTGAATCTCTAGTCTGCATTCATTTACAAGCATAGCAAACCGGAAGAGCGTTAAAAATTCAGTATAATCTATATCTAATCATATTTTACAACTGTAGCACTGAGTTCAAAATGTAAACAAAGCGTTTGTTTACATTACGGACTTTACATCACGTTTAACAATGAAAATGTTCTGTCTCGGTGGCCTTGAAAAATTGTACAATGTCAGCAATACTATCATCGGCTGCGTTGAATGTTGAAATTGTGCGTCCACCCAGAATATTTTTAAAATACAGGGTGTCCAAACAAAACCCAAAAGCATTGAAATAATGAATTGTTTGAATTTGATCGCCCTAGCACTAAGCTAAACCCACGAGTGCATGAAAGATTAACATAACTGTCATGATTAATGGTAATGAGAAGCATTTTCAAATTCCCATGAGCAAGAAAACGTGCACTTTACAAAGGAATACAGTATTTATTAATCGCCCTGTAAAAAATTTACGCATCCTTGCCTTCAGCTTAGTGCTAGGGCATTCAAATTCAAATAATGGGGGTATTTCAATGCTTTTGGGTTTTGTTTTTCTGGAACACCCTGTATTTTGTTCCAAAATTACGCAATCAAGACCTTGGCTGCGCATTACGAACTTTCCAGTCTCGACTCTGGAGTATGTTTAACACTCTGAAACATGCTTAAGCAGCACCTTCCTTGCGATAGTAACTCTTAGTTTATTTAAGTCATATATTCGTAGGTGAAGCCTATAACGTTGAATTGGAGAGGTCATGGAAGCCACACAGTATCAACACAGATTCGGTTTAACCGTACCGCGTTTTGCACAATTCCACAAGTGCTCAATGGCCCTACGCAGCCACGCACAATATTTAAATTTATACCGTGTACCATGCTAAACAGAAAGATCACAATTGTTACTTGATATATTTTAACTAAATATATTTTAATTTTTGTCAATATAATATAACGTTTGTGTTTTTATTATTGGTCACTTTATACCGTTGTTATTTCGTATTGGACCGACAGCTTTTTATCCACAGTACTGGCAGTTACTAAGTTAATCATATAGAGGGCAAAATTACTAAAATATGATTGGCTAATGAGGAGGGCATTTTTTCTTAATTCATCGCAAAATTACTTGGCTCTGATTGGCTAAAATGTCAGAATGTTTTTGTATTAATTTCGCGTTGGACATTGAATGGCTTCCCCACAGCTGTACTTGTCGTGTGTGAAATTGAATTAGATTCAAGCAATTTGGTCAATATTTAGGCAAATGTATTGAATAATGCTGTTGTTTATATAATTTGTATATCGTTTATTTCATTTTCAAGCGTTTTTAAGTGACATTAATAAATATATTGACTGTTTGTTTATTGACTTTATAAATATAAAGTACCGAATCTTAAACTTAACGTTGACATTCAATTCCTAGCGATTCATGTTCGAATAAACTTTACCCTGAATATGATTAACAAGTAATCGCATATACTGAGTCCTCGTAAAATTAAGGTTTAATTTTAAAAACTTTTAAAACACGCGTGAAATTAAACCTTAATTTTATTCGGCCCAATGCGATTACCCATACAAATTCCTGTATCTTTTTGTATCGAACTATAATCAAGCGAAAATTCAAATTGACGCGATATCAAGTCTATTTTGTGTTATTTTAGCACTGAAGCACAGCGATATCATTTGCAAGTTTTGCGGCATTAGCAGGGCTAGCCACATGTATACACTGCGTACCTATTTTTAAACGAAATTATATTTTGGACGATATTATATGATTTCATGGGAAGCAATGTTGTGGAATAAAAATTTTATTTCCTATTTTAAAACGTCTGCTATTATAAAATTCCGGAAGGGCCAGGAAGGGCAATCCCCCAACCCTCTAGCCTGATAACAGACCTACGTTTCACCCGCCCTAAAATTCGTCGACGGAAAGGGCGAAACGTAGGTCTGATGAAAATGTTGTCAAAAGCGCCTTCCGCCCACTTTGCATTTTGCAATAATTAACGATGATGATTGACACATACAAGTAATACCTAAAAATACAATGAAAGTTGTCGATTTCACTTTATTGCAAGTTTGTAAACTAGTAAGAGTCGATAAGTACAGATATTCGAATAAATATTTAAAATATTGGTAACCCCATGGAGCCCGTTGCTTTTATATACTTAAACCTTTGTAAACAAACAGTTACAGCTAGTAATAATACTTTCAACACATTCTATAAATGCGATAAAATCTGCCTACGCAAATTTGGCAATGGCCAATGTGCCATTGTTGAATTGCATCCAAACTCTTACAATTTATACATTTGAAATCGCCATACAATGGTAAAATCTAAATAGAATATTTTGTACGTGCTATGTTATCAAAATATAAATCATGAATGCGCACATATTTGTATCCGAGTTTTATTATGATTAATCACAAAACTTAGATCGTGTATATTAAGAAAATATATATTGTATTGTTTACTACAACGGAAAGATACAACGCTGAAGAATTCGACACGTACTGCTTTACTAATTTTAGACGGTAGATACTGATCATAGACTAGTTGTCGTTCGGCATCACAAAATATTTATAATATTACACTGTATGCATATTTATATGCGTTGATTTACCGTTGAAAATATTCTGATCTTTCCAAATCTTTTCATGTTAGCGACCAACCAATCACAACCCATTTCCCTGTGAATTAGCCAATCAGCTTTGTCGACCGCCAGGCGGTCGACTTACATGCACGTTTGACAACATTTTCATCAGACCTACGTTTCGCTCTTCGTCGACCCGCGAATTTTAGGGCGGGCGAAACGTAGGTCTGTTATCAGGCTACCAACCCTCCGAAGTATTTGAACTTTCAAGTTTTCCGGTGGCAACAAATATAGTGCAGGACTAATGGAAAAGCAAAAATAATTTGCTGCCCCCCTCCCCCCCAGGATTAAAATTTCTGCCGACAGTCCTGTCAGTAGGTGCATCTTTTTCGGCATTGATGACATCAAGTTTTATCATTTATTTTGACCAGGATCGTAGCTCTTGGGCTGTTTGGTGTCTGAAACAAAATGGCTGGTATAAGACTGATTACAGTGAAATATTCTAACAGCTATTTTCACCGGATAGTCACTCAATTCCGTTGTAAATGGAGTAGCATGTAGTGACGTATACGTCCTATAGATAGGATATGTAGGAAGGATGGCCACACTTTACAGATACATGCTCATTTCACAAACAAAATTTTGGTGTCAAACACACTAAAAATTTAAAAACATAAAACACAGACTATGTTTCTATGCCAAATTCTGCATGATTGGTCGAGAAAGCAAATAAGATTTCTTTTGACTAATTAGATTTTGCAATAGTTCAAACTTTTTAACATACAAACTCAAATTGATTTCCTTTTATTTGTACCAAAACAATATCACAGTCGACTTTGTTCTAATGTTGCAAGATGACGAGGCAAGCATTATAAATGCTTATTATATGGCAAGCATCACTTCCGGTGAAATGGCGAATTGTGATTGGCTGAGAGGCAATTTTAGTAGTCCATTTTATTCCGTAATGGCAACGATCATTACGGAAAAAAATTCAAATTGGCCGCCAATGAAAGTCGTTTTCATACTTTATACTTTTGACAAAATTAAACAAATCAAGAACAATACATGATAAAATACAAATCCTGTTTGAAGAGCACCTTCCATCTCCTTTAATTTGGTTTCGTGACGCTCTACTTTTTCATTCAATTCTGTTATCTGTCCTTTTTTTGAAGAAGGTCATTCCCCAAGCGAGCAACTTTTTCTTTATTATCAGTTTATTTACTTTCAAAGTTTTTCTTTTCTTTTCCAATTCTATTACTTTTTCCTTCAAGTTTTTGATTTCTTCTTCCAATTCACATTTTTCTTTGCCATTTAGCTCCGATTTGTACAACTTCTCTGAAATCACTTGGATTTTCATCAATTCATCTTTTATCTTTTGTGATAGATTTTGCTGTTCACTTTCTCTTAGAAGAAAATTAATACTCACCTTTAGATTTTTCACATCATTACGAACTTCCATCGTTTTACTTCTAACTTTTGAGCCAATGCAGATTTTCCTCCTTATTCCCTTCCTATCCCCTAGATATCCTTACTAGACAAAGTAAGAAAATAAATAACTATGTTATTTAACTTGTTTTATTATATAGATGTGAGTTAAATACTGGAAAATACGCCACTCGTATTAACGCGTGCGTTTTCTCGCGGGACCCACGTTAATTCCCGCCATTTTGTCACGTGTACTTTTGATAACAATATATGTGGCATCTTTCTGACTATTTGCTAAAGTTTCTATGCCAATTTGGCAAGATTTTCAGAGAAAAATGTAAATGAGAAACCAAAAGAAAGCTCAATACGATTTAATGATCTTTGACGAGAATTTATAGCATCCATTAACAAGCGAAGTGATATTAGGCCTACATTGTTGCCGTACGGTGAGCTACAAAAATATCTGTAGTTTCACTTCAACTTTTATCCATATAATATCGTTCTCACCACTTGAAAATAAAAGTCATATTTCCGCGCCACCGTTAAATATCCGCTATGTATTAAGCATGTATTCTTGTGCGTTCGTGGATTTTTCCCCAACATTTGATATATATCCTTTTTAAATACCAGAGTGTTTGAATTTTGGTAGATCTATAAGCATTCACTCAGGGGCGAAACTACCTCCTCTTACTTGGGGGGGGGTGTCTTAGGTAGAATTCCCTGCAAAAATTAATGATGCACTCGGGGGAGTAGGAACGTGGAGGGGGAGGGGCGAAATTTTAACGAATCAGGGCCAAGTAGTTTTTGCTCTGAATTAAGAAAAAATGTTCTCCTGATTAGGTATATAAAACAGAGTCTGTCGAAGTATCTGTTGTAATATTTTTCCTTATTTTGCCAAAATTTAGGCGAATAACCGCAAATTTGGTAGTTTAATTAATTAAAGATTTTTATTATAATCTCAGATTATGCTATTAACACCATCGCGTTGTACAGTGTATCGTTTACCATTGAGCTATATTGTTAACATTTTTTTGTAAATTAGCAAAAAAAAGATAACCTGCAAGGTCAGGAATTTCTGATCAAGAAATAATGAGATTTCAATAAGTATTAGATAAAACATGAGCAGCCGATCTGTATCTGATATACAAACTCGAGCCTAAGGCGAGTAGTCAATGTTGTGTCCGTTTGACCACCCCTCTAATTGCATGTTGGACAATGTTGGATGATGTTGGACGATGTTGCGTAAAATTAGACATCAGTCAAATTTTGACGCAACAAAGACACAACATTTGGCACTATAACCCATGTTGCGATCGTTTGACCACTTGAACACAACATTGTTGCTGTTGAGCATGGGCATATCAGACTTTTACCCATGCCTTATCATGTTGCGTTCAAAATTGTTGCGTCCGTTTGACCACTCTCATCGGAGAAGAACGCAACATGTCTCAATATAAGCCAGCAATGTTGGACTATGTTGCGGCAAAATGTTGCGTCCGTTTGACCACGCAAGGCTTTAGGTTCGGCACATGAAAGGTTTGGCGTCTGAACTAGGCCTTAGACTTGCTTGATATTTTCTACTTATCCACCGTTTGCTTGCTTGATATTTTCTACTTATCCACCGTCGAGTATGTTTTTCGACTTTTGATACTGCAGCACTTCCTCCTCTTATCGTTGATGGCTGTAACATTTCTGTCGTGTCACATGCTAGATTACTCGGATTAATCATCTCCGAAGACCTCGAGTAGGTTCTTCATGTTGATTTCATTCGTAAGAAAGCTGCGAAGCGTCTGCATGCTCTACGATTATTAAAGAGATCTTCCATTCCATCAAGCAAGTTAGTGCGATTGTTTAATACATGCATTAGACCAATTTTAGAATACTCGTGCGAAGTATGGCATCACAGTTTGCCCCAGTATTTAAGTGATCAGATCGAAAGGATCCAACGCACAGCCCTACGAATAATCTTCTCAGATTGTTGTGATGATATTGCAATGGACCGCGCCGGTGTGGTGTCGTTATTCATACGGAGAGAAATTACGATCTGTAAGAGATTTTTTGAACGAATGCGTACTGACGAAGCACATAAGTTATATTCCCTTGTCCCTTCCAATCGGGATACAGAATATTCACTTCGTGGTGGTAATAACAAACTATCAATACCTAGGTGTAGAACTAACAGATATGCAAATAGTTTCATAATTTCTGGAAGTAATGCTTTTAACATTAGTAAAACTTAATATAATTAACCATGTAATTATTACTATAATAATTCTTAATCTAATTGTATTTTGTATTTTATCCTTTTAAACTTGTAAACCGATGTAATTCAGTCCTTCACTGCTAAATTGGTCTTTTCAATAAATCTTAAATCTTAAACGCCTTTGATACAACCGGCCCTGGTTATTACATCAGGTTCAGCACATGAAAAGTTCAATATGAAGTGTTATCTATTACTTTCAGCACCGCAGTTATATTATTACTGTAGAATTACTGTAGATAATTTATACACGTCATATGATGTTCCGCAAGAATTATCAATTTGTCATTGGTTTCATTTTCTTTTTAAGAAATTTTTAGTATATTTCGAATCTTTTTTATATTGATTCTTGATACTGCATCATGCCATAGGCTGCCAGATTGACATATTATGTCAGGGTATGCCATAACTTACGGCCATGGCAAGAGGAAGTGTACATGGCAAGAGCCATCGCCAGGGCGCTTATATTGAGCTTCTTGTGATAATAGTCAACTTTGAGATAGTGCTATGGAAATACTTACCAGAGTACGTTCCTTAGAATTATCTTGATTTTCACTAAATAACCAAAGATGAACGCGTCACTATTTTTATGGGGTAGGTTGTCTCAAAGGTTGGTTATTTTACTTTAAAGATTTGTCTCTTTTATCGGCACGCATCTGCACGGTAGGAGGTCAGGTCACAATTGGCTATTATAAAATTATTGTGAAGCCTGACATTTTTATAAAGTTATGTGCATGTCTACGATTCAAATGGGTTCCACCTCTACTGTATATTATTATAATAGCGGCCATTTTATGGGCCAGCAGTGTTGTTTCAACAACTCGGATATCTGAATTAAACATCCGTTGGGATAATTTTCTCATTTTAATTGATTCTTGTTGTAAATGTGCTGACCAGGGTTGCTACAGTTCCTGAATAATTGGGCCAAATTTTTAACAATGTTCTTTGTTTTTCTTTGTATTTGCCTTTTGTTTCTTTTGTTTTCTTGATGGCACTTATGACGGTTTGACCCAATTATTCAGGAATACTATCAACCCTAGTGCTGACCAATGTATTTCAAACATTATTTGTCAGTTTTTTTGTCATTTTGAGGTATTAAAATAGAAACAATAAGACGAGCCCGCAATGCTAAGGTGTGATACTAGTCCTTTAGCTTTTTGTCAGAAATAGTAAATATACAGTTAATAGACAAGGTAAACTGGACCTATAAAAGCTTCAAACATTGTAAAATCGAGCACAATACAATAATGTTTCTGAAATAAACAAATCAAAACTGATTTTTACCGGGAGCGTATACCAGATTCACTGTTTACACCTGGTTTCTTACTCCGCCTGCGCAGGCGTAGCCGCGCAGCGGAGTCTTAAAATGCCCCAGTCTTTTGTCGTCGTCGACGGTGTCACAAACAGGCTCCTTGATAAATAGGTACATCGGTGTACGTTTATGGATAATTTGACGTCGGAACCTTTGAAGTTTTTGGCCCGCACATGTGAAGAGGGGGCAATACATTCAATCCAGTGCTCACGAATCTAGATCCTTTCTATCGGATTCCATCATCGCATTTCCGCCCTTCGGCCTTTCTGATCATTCTGTAATTGCTGTCTCTCCTAGACTCCGAGACCCTAAGTCTAACCAAAAGAAAGTCGTCTACAAACGCGATATGAGACCTTCACGCAAAGCTATGTTTGGGCGGTATTTAAGTGAAATTGTCTGTTCTTTCTTTGACTCACTTGAATCAGTTGAGGTAAAAAACCAACTGTTCACCGACATGCTATCCTTTGGATTATATTATGTATATATTGACTGAAAAACGCCTTTTGGTTCATTCCAACGACCACTCGTGGATCAACGAGGATCTGCGTTGTCTTATAAGACAAAAGTAGACAATTTATAACAATCTAACCCGAAACACTGGTGGCGTGAAGTAAAACGCATTAGTGGAACGGTTTCCCTTTCAAGCCTACAGGATTGATTCCAATCAGAGAACTTAGAACACCTGCCCTTGGCCGATTTGGCTAATGCTATAAACAACGCCTTTCTAGAACCCATACAGAAACTTGATCCTTTCAACCCTACTGACGACCAAAACAAAAGTATGGAAACATAATAAAAAACTCAAATTACTAAGTACCTCTAAAGCACCAGGGCCTGATGAAGTTCCGAATTTTGTCTACAAGGAATATGCCGAGTTTTTGGCATGCCTAATCTCCAGCTTGATCAGCTGTTCACTCCGCTATCAATTATTACCAAGCTTATGGAAGTTGGCGAACATTATCCCAATTCGTAAGGAAAAGATTGTATGTGATATTAATAAACACTTAAGACCCATATATCTTACCTGTTGAGTTGTTGTCTCTCAGAACTGCCTGAAGAATTTGTCATTGAAAAGTTTTTCGCCCCTGCCATCCTGAAATGCATCGACCCTCACCAGTTCAGAGGAATACCAAGGTCATCTTCAACTATTGCCCTTATTAGTATGTTGCACAACTGGGCTGAAGCAACCGATGGCACGGGAAATTCTTTGCGAGTCCTTCTTGTTGATTACAGGAACGCTTTCGATCTTATTGATCAATCAATTTTGATCAACAAAATTCGCCAATTGCCTATCCCAATTTATGTCATGAATTGGCTTATTAGCTTTTTGTGTGGTCCGTAACAGCGCGTGAAACTTGCAAGGGACAGTGTTTCTGAGTAGGGTAGTGTCCCTAGTGGCGCCCACAGAGCACAAAGTTGGGTCCTCGGTTGTTTATTCCCATGATAAACGATTTAAAGCTTATGGACATCACTCGGAAACTATCCCAAGTTTCGGAAACTATCTGAAGAAACGGAACCAGCCAAATCCAATCTGGAGCTAGCGAACTTGAAATGTGGAACTTACAGAATAAAACCTTATTGAATGTTCAAAAATGCTAAGAGGTTTTGTTTCAATTCGACAGAAATAGAGTATCCTTTGATAATATCCATCTTCTTGAGGGGTGTCCAAACCTAGTTCATCAAGCTAAAATTCTCAGTGTTACGATTAGTGATGATTTAAGATGGTCTACGGATGTCCTAAACATAATAAAGAAAGCCAACAAGAGAATCTTCTTCATAGTCCAATTAAAACGAGCTAAAATACCAGCCAAGAGCATTGGGCTAGTATTCCAAAGGTCGTAGGTTTGAATCCCACCGTAGCCGGGCATATTTTTCAAGCTCGCCCGGTGTGGATATGCACTCAGAGTAACATCACAAACATATTATTCTTGCTGTGTCAGACCGGTTCTGGAATACGCTTGTGAGGTATTTCACTTTGCTCTGCCTAAGTATCTCAGTGATAACATAGAACGAGTCCAGAGAAGAGTTACATCTATAATCTTTCCCGGTTTGTCTTAAAACGAGCGTTTGGACAAAGCTAATTTGACACTCCTAAGCGATCGTCGAAGGCATGCCTGCTCCAAGTTATACAATCAGATAACTAAGGACCCTGCACACAAGTCGTCGAATTTGTCTCCTTCTCCTATACATTTAAATCCGTCATGGCAGTTAGACGTGTTATTTTGAACACCGCTAGCCCGAGTCAAAATTTAGCTAGTTCGTTACTCGACTTTGCCAATAATGATTCCCTGTGTACAGGTGAAATTTACCGTACCAGAAAGCAAACCGAATCGACATTTAAATCGCTTGGCCTATGCTGGACGGGTGATTTCGAATCACTAGAACACTTTGTAGCTGACTCTTTGAAGCTGAATGGTACCTGGTCTCAACCTGGGGGCGATAAAAAGGTTTTTGTTGCTGAGGACGCTTCTATCATATGGAGGAAGAATAAAAACATCCTAACTATTGGAGGAGTAAAGGAAAATCAACTAAAGAGGGAAGTTTGCAGATATATCTGCGACTATTCGAGCGGAATCGTTCGATGCTTCGACAGAAATTGAGGATCTCAAGCAAGGACAGCAGTCGAATGAGGAGGCAATTCAAGCATTGTCGGACACGATTAGTCATATGGGCGCTGTTGTTTCGCAACTTCAGGGACTTTATGGACAAAAATAATAGGAGTATTGGCAAGAAAAAATATGACTGACCTGCCGAATACAAAAATCTACATGCTGGACATGTAAATGAATGCGTGATCGTAACGCTAATGACGCCGAAGGGAATAAGTCTATCAATACAGAGCAATTAGAAAGTATTATTATAAACGATTGGGATAACAGCTTATTGCCTAATATCACAATAGCCTCTTGTGATGCAGAACCCATCAGTAATAAAGGTCAAAATATGCGAACGATTGATAAATTGCATACTACGAACAATGGGATTATTCCAATCAAGGTGAACAATGGGGGTGAGTGCAATGTAAACGAGGGCGAGACTAATGACCCTGTTATCCTGGTAAACCCATTAAACCTCATTGAAACTGATAATGACAATCTAAAGCATGAGCATAATGTTAATAATCCCATTGTGTCAGCAGAAGTTGCAACCTCTATTATATACGATAATAAACAAGTACTGTAAGAAACAACAATCAAGCCACTTTTGCGGAGGTAGTGACATCTATAGTCCTGCATTTAATAGCTGCAACGCACTTGAAAAATCTCCTACCAATAAATCCCAAAACGATTCTCTGCAAGTAATCAATGATCCATCTATTGACTCTGCTGACGGGTTTATTGGTGTTGACCGGAGACGTAACAGAGTTAAGAAATTCCTGTTAAGCGGGATAGCTGAAAACGTAAAAGAATGTCAAATTGTTTCCTATCTGAAACAACGGAATATAACACCTACATATATTTCCGTTTTTCCAAGCAAAAGAAAAGGTACGACATCGGCTAAAATCCATTTTCGTTCGGACGATTGTTCGTTAGTGGAACAACAAAATTTTTGGCCTCAGTTTGTCAACTGCCGCAAGATTTGGCAATCAAAAGGAGAAATTAGATCTAATATTACCCATAACGGGAAGTTCTCAACTTATGTATAATGGAGCAAATAGAAGTCAGAGTTTCGTCACATTATTTTGGTTGCCGTGTGAGGCAAAGAAGGCGTAGAGAAACGCGAGGTGTCAATTATAACTATCTAACCCGTATTAGATGCACAAATAATTATAATGAAAAAAAAACAAAAACAAAATAAAGCTATACTCCCGAGAATTTGCTGCTTGAACGCACGCTCAATTAATGGAAAGGTTGATGAACTTGCAGCATTTATGTCCGTCAACAAAGTTCATATAGCCGCAATTACGGAGTCTTGGTTGACTGACGAGATAGGGGACGATCAAATATCGATTGGTGGTTATGTAATTCATCGTAAGGACCGGACACATGGCCGTGGGGGTGGGGTTTGCGTTTATGTGTCTCAGCAGATATCCATTACGCGATACTTGGAATTAGAAGATTTAAATCTAGAGTGCATGTGGTTGTGGGCTCGACCACCACGCTTACCGAGACCGCTATCTGCAATCGCAGTATGTGTAGTGTATAATCCACCGGACAAAAGTGTGCAAGAACAGAGGGAACTTTGCGATTACCTTGTGTCCTCTATTGATACTATACGCTCTAAATACCCTGATTGTGGCATAGTCATTTTAGGCGATTTTAATCGTCTCAATATACAGGATTTAGTTACAAGTCACAACCTTAAGCAAGTCGTCACGCGTCCGTCTAGACAAGATTCAATCTTAGACTGTATTATTACGAACTTGAAATCCTTTTACAAAACACCGGATATTTCTGCTCCACTTGGAACATCCGACCATAATGTAATCATGTGGATCTCAAAAGACATTTTTAAGGATAATAATAATACGTGTACAAAGCGGACTTTGCGTCGGTATCCTCAGTCAGGTTGGAATGGTTTTGGTTTATGGTCAACCAGGAATAAATGGTTTAGTGGACTCGGACTCAATCCATCGTCCGGTGAGTTAGCGTCATCTTTTACCAACGATCTGAACACTGCATTCGATCATATTTTTCCAGTGAACACAATCAAATTTCATCCCAAGGACAGACCATGGATAACTGGGCACATAAAGCAACATATTAAAGAACGCCACGTGCTTTCCACACTGGCGACGCGCAATTGTGGCGCCATTACAGACGGAAGGTCCAGATAGAGATTAAAACCAGGAAAAATAATTTCTATACCCAAAAAATCCATAACTTGCGAAAAGACGATGTCCGTCAATGGTGGCACACTATTAACACAATGTCAGGTAGAGCGAAAAGTCAACCTCAGTTTACAATTGAGCGTGACGGACAGTTATTATCGGAAGGTGAACTGGCAGAGTCTCTAAATGATTATTTTGTAAGTGTAGCAAGTGATATCCCACCACTTGATATTTCAAGACTTCCAACATTCTTACCAGCTGCGGTGCCGCCTCCTACAATTCATCCTCATGAGGTTTGTAGTAAGCTCTTAAAACTTCAGACTAATAAGGCTATGGGCCCGGACAGTTTTCCATCACGAATTTTAAAAGAGTTCGCCTACGAACTTGCTGAGCCAGTTACATCAATATTTAATACATCTTTGTCCTCTGGACTAGTACCTGTTTTATGGAAAGATTCTACCATCATACCCATTCCTAAAGCGAAACAAACCCAGGTTGAGAGCGATACCCGCCCCATCGCACTTACCCCTGTGTTATCGAAAGTACTCGAAGACTTTGTGGTTAGTTGGATGGTTGAGGACATAGGTGGACAAATCGATAATCGTCAGTATGGCAGCCTGAAGGGAACATCTACCACCCTTTGCCTTCTAGATCTTATCAACAACTGGCTTTCTAAAATGGACAACCCAGGTCATTACCTTAGAGCATGCTTTCTGGACTTTAGCAAAGCTTTCGATAGAATAGACCACAATATTGTTATAACAAAATTGATCGATTTGGGAGTGCGCCGTTCAATAATCCCTTGGATTTGTAGCTTCCTTTCAAATCGCCGCCAGTGTGTTAAGCTGGGACAGTGCGTGTCCCGATGGCTTTCAACTAGTGCTGGGGTCCCACAGGGTACCAAATTGGGTCCAATCCTTTTTGTCATAATGATTAATGATCTGAAAATAGTATCCCCGCGTTCCAGTAATTGGAAGTACGTAGACGACGTGACGATATCTGAGATTGTTCCAACAAGGGAGGTATCTATACTACAAAACGAATTGGACGCAATTGGTAATTGGACAAGTACCAATAATATGAAATTGAACCCCAAAAAGTGTAAAGAGATGATTGTCTCCTTTCGACGAGATATTGAGCAGCCACCACCCACCTTAGTTGTTGAAACCATTAGTCTTGAAAGAATAGAATCCCACAAGTATTAGGTTTAACGATCCAGAATAATCTAAAGTGGGATTTGCATATCAGTGAGATAGTAACCAAAGCATCAAAAAGACTACACATCTTACGAGTTCTCAAGCGCAGTGGAGTTTCACCGTTTCATTTACTACGAGTACATTTTGCACTTATTAGATCCCTGCTTGAGTACTGCTGTCCGGTATGGCATTCATCATTGACCATTAACTTGTCAGATAAAATTGAACGGGTCCAGAAGCGCACAATGCGAATAATCTACCCCACATTAAGCTATGACGCTGCTCTGGACCAAGCTAAATGTTCAACATTACGCGCAAGACGTGATGGTTTGTGCATAAAAACTTTTGACAAAATCAGACAGCCTGATTCACGCCTTAACCATTTAATACCACCTTCTCGGGCCAATGGACACAATTGTAATTTAAGGTACGGAAATAGATTAACACTGTTTCCTTGTAAGACGGAGCGCTTTAAGAAAAGCTTTTTTCCTACTATGTGTATTCAATCACATAATTTATAAATTTTGTAAATTTTGTAAATTTAAAAGTTCTTTCGATATTAATTCATAGATCAGTAAACTATTGTTGTAATATAATGCCAGTAACACAAGGTACTTTTTAATACTTTTAACTAAAGTTTGTAAATAATTTCGCAATTCGCTTTCATTGAGCGCGACGATTTTTATAATAAACCATTAATAACAAAACAGCTTCTACGTCAGAGTTGCCAACGTGTGGAATACACTCCCCTGTTTGATCAGAGAAACCAACAAAACCGTGGTCTATTTCAAATTTTGTTTAATGCAACATTATAAGGATCTCACCAAGGAAATTTATAATCCTGAGGATCCGAGAACATTTAAGTCTGTTTGTGTGTGAAGTGTCACACAACTCGCCCATTGACTAACTTGTCGAATCGAGCATGTTGTTAAATTTACTGTCACATAAATTGTAAGTCGTTGATTGTAATTCGTTATGCTTGTTTGTTGATCTTCACGTCTGTCTGTCTGTCTGTCTATCTGTCCGTCCGTCCGTCCGTCCGTCCGTCCGTCCGTGCGTCCGTCCGTCCGTCCGTCCGTCCGTCCGTCCGTCCGTCCGTCCGTCCGCCCGCCCGCCCGTCCGCCCGCCCGTCCGTCCGTCCGTCCGTCCGTCCGTCCGTCCGTCCGTCCGTCCGTCCGTCCGTCCGTCCGTCCGTCCGTCCGTCCGTCCGTCTGTCTGTCTGTCTGTCTGTCTGTCTGTTTGTTTGTTTGTTTGTTTGTTTGTCTGTCTGTTTACAAGCCTGTTATTGTTCATACTGTGTTTTTCGAATGTCTTGGAACCTCGTTATTGGAGAACTAATCTCTGTGTGGTAATTCCAGCCATGTAATGTATTGTCTAACTAATTTTGTGTAAAAGTTTGTGTTAAATGGCAAAATCTGTAAAAAAAAAGATACGTGATCGCGATCGATCCTTATACGTGATCGCGTCGTGACTCGAGGGCGCGCGTTTGGCCAGTCCGTAATAAATACGGATTTTTTGCCACTTTTTTGTGAATCCATACGGAAATTAGTACTTATATCTATCAGCAAAGGTTTGATCTACCTGGAACCTTTTATTTTATTATAATTTGGAAAGGAAATAGCTGGATATTTGGCAATTCAGAAAATTCTGTACAGCGTTTATTGACGTTTGAAATTTCAGTTTGAGTCGTTAGATTATTGCGCAAACATACGGCGCACGCGACTACAGTATACGTCAGCGCAAGAACATCCAATTTGAAATTAGAATAATCATTTAGAACAGCTTTAATCGAATAATTGTATTTTTGGATCCAATTCAACTGATCAAACTCTATGAAATGATGGCAAAAGATAGATTGCATACTTCTTACATTCGTTATTTGGTTAGCGACAAGATCTAAACCTGTACTTGTCCAACTGAACACTGCAAGAATTCCCGGCAAAGTAACGATTTCTGTAGAACTATTGTCGATACCGGAGAAATTGAGTCATATTTGGAGCTCGACGCGCGACAATTCTCTGCGAAAGCCTTCATTTCCATTTAAAATCATTTACCGTTATGGTCTGCAGTTCGTCATCAAGAACAATAAAGCGCATGTTTTCTTATGTATTCTACTCGCCGGTGATGTAGCTACCAATCCTGGACCCACGAGAAGAAACAACCATCAACCAAACGGCAGCCAAAGTTTTTTCGCGAGATGTCTTGTAATCAACGCTCGAAGTTTAATAAGCTAGCACAGGTTAAATGGTAAACAATCTTGCCTCTTGACTAACTTCCAAACCTTGTGTATACCGAACAAGCGGACATCGTGTGGGTAACAGAGACTTGGCTAAGAGATGACATCGAGAATTCAGAAATACTTCCCTGGAGTGACTATACTATCTATCGTAAAGATAGCAAAACTCGTACTGGTGGAGTTCTTCTTGCACAGATAGATAGATGGATAGATAGATAGTTTAATAGATTTTACATCGCAGCCGAATTGGCTGAATTGCGTAAAATTAACGAAACTTACATATTACAAGCAAATTAAATACAACACATACACAATTACATATTGCTGAATGTAATAGTATTACATATTATATGACATCAGCGCAAATTCAGATATGTCGCCCACCACCACCACCGCTAAAATAGAGATCAACCAAAGTTGTAAGCACAGCTACAGAGACCCAAAAACATGCATAAAAGCAAACGGTTGACGCGAGGCAGCGGCAATGGTGGTGGAAGTCATATCAGAACTCCACCAATATCCTTTTAAACTACTCCTTTGACATAGAAACGACAAAAGTGTTCCTAAAACGATTTGTTCGTGTGGTCGGACAGTCAAAATGTCGCTGTCTTCTCAGATTATATGCTGAGATATTCTTGGGTGGCAGAAGATGGTGAAGTTTGTGCTCGGTATCAGATATAACTGATTGAAATAGTTTCTTACACAGTTTTTGCCGCCTGTCTCTCAAGGAACTTATATTCAATTTCATAAGATTGTCCGTATATGATAACCCCGGGGATATTATGGACAGCGCACGCTTTTGAATGCGCTCAAGGTCATCACATAGATATGCAGGGAGAGCATGATGGAAAACAGGAGCACAATACTCGAGAACCGGTCTAATAACAGTGCAGTAAAAATTGACAATATCACAAGCAGGGACGTTTGCACGCTTGAGCAAGATCAAGAAATACAAACGTTTATTCGCTTTCTTGATTACTTCGTTTACATGGTCAACCCATTGGAGTGAACTGGATATGATAACTCCCAACACCTTGGCACTGCTAACCAGTTCGAGTTCTTTGGAGTTGATTGTGATTGCGTCAAACTGTTGTTTCTGTCTCTTGAAGTCAATGACCATTTCTTTACACTTGTCAGCATTCAGTTGGAGCTTGTTGACATTAGACCACCTCTCGACATCAGTAACGGCGTTCTGGATAAAGGTTTTGCCATTCCGTGGAACAACTTCAGCTAACGTGGTGTCATCTACATACTTCCAAGCATGCGCTTCAGATGGATTGAGGTCATTGATCATTAACAGGAACAACCAGGGTCCTAGCTTAGTTCCCTGAGGGACACCAGATGGAACAGCACCCCATTCAGAGAAACAATCATTTGACAACTTTACACGTTGGAATCTGTTTGATAGGAAATCACACACCCACCGAGCTACACCACATGGTATTCGAAGGGAAAGGACTTTGTCAACTAGAATGCGGTGGTCGATCAGATCAAAGGCTTTTTTATAGTCTAGCAATATGATCCTCACTGCTGCACCTGTTCCATCTGTGGCAGAAGTCCACGCATGCATCATGGATACAAGAGCCTGAGTAGTAGACGACTTCGGGATGGCACCAAATTGATTGGGATCGATGATTTCAAGAACAGCAGGTCCAACATAATTCATAACGATAAAGTCCTCAGCTAACTTCGATACAGCTGATGTTAGCGAGATGGGTCTTATAAGCTTAGCAATGATTGAAACCGGTTTCGTCTTAGACAGTGGTGTGATATTGGCATATTTCCATGATGCTGGAAGCGCTTGTTCCTCAAATGAACTATTTAAGATGTTACAAACAGGGTTTGCAAGAAATTCTGCATATTCTTTAAGTAGCCAGTTAGGCACCTCGTCTGGACCACACGCTTTGCGGGGGTTTAACGTTCGTAATCTCGAATACACAGAATAAACATCAAGCTTTAATACCTCGGATTTTTGTCGAATGGAGGAAGACAGGCAAGTGGTTGGTATGCTGGCATGGGTTCGAGGAAAGAGGTGTTAATAAGGTCTGCTACATACTTATTTGACTTTCCACCAATGCCGCCAATGTGAAGCTGCGAGCGAATATCAACATTGGACGTTGCAGGGACCATCCCAGAGATATTTTTAACCTCGTTCCACCACATGCTCGGTTTGGTATTTTTCAGGTTCGCAACTCTAGTGTTGTAATACCGGCTGCGAAGCTTCTTTCGCTCACGATTAACCACATTACGAAGCACTGAAGTCTAGCTCCTCTTTGTCATCTCGCGAGATTGTTACTGACAGCGACCTAGAACTAGTTGCATTAGAATTAACATCTCCCTGCAACAAGAAATACCTGGCATGTTGTACGTACAAGCCCCCGCAGATTATGAGTAGGAAATGGCTGGACGAGTTCAACCTCTTTTTGGCTAATAAGTGTTCAGATTACGCCAACATATTGATATGCGGTGACTTCAATTTTCCGAAGATCTGTTGGGAAAACGTTCAAAATATGTCTGTACTCAGTCTTAGCCAGGGCGGTTTAATAATCGACCACTCGGCAATCACGTTCGACATTGCAACAACGTTCAAAGCACGTCCGAAAATAAAACGATCTGTCTTTGATTACAACCGAGGGAACTTCGACGGACTTCGTGCAACTCTAGAGTCGGTTGACCTTTGCGGAGCAGTCGAGTCAGCAGTGGATATTAACCACGGTTGGTTGAAATGGAAAGAACTATTTCTCAGTGGTGTACGCGGCAGTATTCCGATAAAAACCATCAGCAACGTCAGTAATCCGCCTTGGATCAACGGTGAGATAATCCACGCTATCAGGAAAAAGGAGACCTGAAGACTGAAGACATCGCCAACGGACGTACTGAGAAACAAGTTCAAGACTCTGCGGTCCAAGGTGAAACGATTGATGACTGAAAGTCGTTGTCAGTTCTTCCAAAACATCAGCGAAGCCCTCTTCAATAATCCGAAAAGATTCTGATCTGTCTTTAAAATCAACAGTAAACGTGCCAGTGTCCCAGGAACAATAACAATGTGATCAAATGGATTAGATCCTGACTCGACTCGCTCAGCTTCATTTCCTCGCGACATAGCAGAACTGTCCAACGACTACTTCTCCTCCATTGTGTCTGGAAGCGAGAACACAACTCCAAGACTCTGCGGTCCAAGGTGAAACGATTGATGACTGAAAGTCGTTGTCAGTTCTTCCAAAACATCAGCGAAGCCTCTTCAATAATCCGAAAAGATTCTGGTCTGTCTTTAAAATCAACAGTAAACGTGCCAGTGTCCCAGGAACAATAACAATGTGATCAAATGGATTAGATCCTGACTCGGCTCGCTCAGCTTCATTTCCTCGCGACATAGCAGAACTGTCCAACGACTACTTCTCCTCCATTGTGTCTGGAAGCGAGAACACAACTCCAACGGACAATCCATCCTCGCCAACTGATTGCAACTTGTCAGAGTTAACTCTTTCTCCTGACGATGTTGCAGCTGCTCTCCACGGCCTCGATATCAACAAAGCCACAGGTCCGGATGAAATACCACCAAGAATACTAAAAGAATGTGCTCACCAAATTGCTCCGTCATTATGTCTACTGTTTAAACAATCACTCCGACATGGCTCCTTACCAGAGAAATGGAAGCTCGCGAACATCATCCCCGTCCATAAAAAAGGTGACATCTCCAACGTTGAAAACTACCGTCCAAATTCGCTTCCGTGTGTAACATCCAAAATCCTTGGGCGCTGTGTGCTGAGAAATCTGAGAGACTATCTGATGTCCCTGATTACTGTAACTCCGCTCAACTTGGTTTGATCCCTGGAAGGTCATGGACAACCCAGCTAGTCGAAGTTTTGCACTACATTGGATCCATTTTAAACTGGTAAACAAACCGATATAATCTTCATGGACATGTCAAAGGCTTTTGACAAGGTCAGCCATACAGCTCTGATAAACAAACTTCAACAGTATAACATCGGCGGATCTCTTCTCCAATGGTTCACCTCGTATCTACATGACCGCCAACAGCGCGTCACAACTCTTGGCGCTACTTCTTTCAAGAGACCCGGTGTGCTCTGGTGTTCCGCAAGGCAGTGTCTTAGGACCAATACTCTTCCTCCTGTATGTGAATGACTTACCAGACGCTGTGACGTACTCGACAGTTGCGTGTTTTGCAGATGACACCAAAATCTTCCGTAGAATTGACTCCATCACCGATGCTATGTTACTCCAGGACGACATCAATAACCTTGAATCCTGGTCCATGTCAAGCGGTCTCGTGTTTAACGAAGGAAAATGCAAAAGTATTAGAATTACCAGACGTAGTCAGCCAATCCATCATCTATACAGCATCAAAGGCAAAGAACTTGCACCTATACCAGCAGAGAAGGATCTGGGAATTTGGATCGCGAGCGATCTAACCTGGTCTAAACACGTTTTAGACCGGTGTGCCCGGGCCAACAAACTACTTGGATTTATAAAGCGATGTTCTTGGGAAATAAGCGACGCGAGGACCCGCCGGACACTGTATCTGTCTTTGGTTCGGGCAGTTTTTGGTTACTCGAGCCAGGTTTGGTCGCCTCAAACCGTTAACGTTGCCCTCATCCAACGTATGGAACGGGTCCAAAGAAGGGCAACGAAGTACATTTTAAACCTTCCGCACTTATGCAGTGAGACTTATCGGGAACGACTTGCCAGTTTGGGCCTCTTGCCGCTATCTTACTGGCATGAATACTTGGATCTCGTGTTCTTTTTCAAAGCGGTGATCGGCTTGGTCGACGTTGACCCATGACGTCCTCCCCGAAGTCATGGCCAAAAACAGAACGACCAGATCCTCCAGTGGCAACCAAATCTCCTTCCCTCCTGCCAAATGCAAGACCTCTACCTACCAACGCTCCTTCTTTATTCGTGCATCCAGAACCTGGAACTCTTTACCAACTACACTAAGATCTCCTGACATTAATATTAGGCAATTCAAAACTGATTTACAAACTTACGTACTACCTGACAGCCCTGAGAGAAGGCTTCAACGAAGAAGATCCGAGGACATGGAAGACTATATGTCTGATGTGTAACACTAGTCGTTATTTACGTTCTAAACTAACCTGTTGTTTTTAGTCTCCTGTCCATGTACTGTTATATGTTCTGTACTGTATGTGTATTTTTTTATAAGGGCCCACAGTAATTGGTTTACACTGTTGTGGTGTCCCTGCCATTCTTGTCCATGTTTATTGTTTAGATGTCTATTTGCTGTTCTGTTACGTGTTTTCGGCAAAGTTTAATAAATAATAAATAAATAAATAAATTCATTAAACTGAAATATGTTTCTAAATACAACCATTTCATGGGAAGATATAGGATACAAATGTCGAAAAATCTGCCATATTGTTACTAAAAATAGAACAAAATGGCGGATGTTTAGAAATTTAAGTCATATCTTCGCAAGGAATGGTTGTCAGGGACGTAGCAACTGGGGGCTGTTGGTGTAAATTAAAGTTTCCCCGTACTGTGAACTTCAGGCAAAAATCATGTAAAATTCAAGTTAAAATTTTGACACTTTCAGGTAAAATTTGCGTAATATAGTAATTATTTTTGTGAAATGATAACCATTTTTGTAAAATACAGTCCATTTACATGCAATTTTGTTTGCGAATTTGCTTTAGAAAACGCCGGAAATTCAGTCCTAGGGCTTCAAAAATATAAACATTTTCTGGGGGACGACCCCCAGACCCCCATTTCCTCCCAAAACTTAGTATAAGAGTGACAATCAATCACAAAAAGCTTTATTATAATTATTACACGTATAATCCTCCGACCTCCCCCCCCCCTCCGAACGTTAGATTCTTCGCTACGTCCCTGATTGGTGTATTCGAAACCGATTTCAGTTTAAGATATCCTTAGTGTCCTTAGTCTGCTCTTCTAAGTGGATACATGAAATCACCTATAGCTTTATATTTTAAATATTTTTTTGCGCCAGATTTGTGAAGTAATTTACCCGCCAAAAAGTAGCAGTTCCAAAAACACAAAAAGCATACGATTTGTAAGAATGATATGCTCTGTGTTCATGGGATATTTAGTACAAACGGGATATTTAGTTCAAGACTCCGACTACGCTGATGACGGACAATAACAACCTGTTGATAATTTCGCCCTTAGAGCCAATCTTTTTTTAAATTAAAGACGGTGCCATTTCATCTGGCGCTAGTGAGGTGAAAGAATTAAGCAGCACGTAGGTATTTTTGTTGAGGAGAAGCACATGCTTGAGAACTGCAAATTGTATCTATGATAAGAGAGAATTCCGGATTGTACTCCTTCGATTCGGAATTCAGGGGGGGAGGGGAATTAAACATTTTATAAACTTGAAAGGGGGGCATCGAAAATTTACCAATAACCTAAACAGGGACCCTATAAAAATAAGAGCTTTATTCAAGACATCTTCATCCCCCCCCCCCCCCCCCACC